ATCAAAACATTCCCCGGTTCCGCAGATGATAGTTTTTGCTCTGGCAGTTGACGCGATTTTTTCACGAATTGCGTTATGTAGCCTTGCTTGTTGCATCCGCAGTTTTTTTTAGAGCAATTATTGACGTAGATACCTGTCTGGTGTGCGTAGGTAGACGTACCTCAGACAATGAATTTTAATTTTTGATTGCTCATCCAGAATTCCGGGACGCATGAATGGGCTTAAAAAAGGATTCAAACTTTTTTGCAACAGTGGAAGGACGGAAAGGGCGCGCAACAGCTCACTTTTCATTTCTGAATTCTGACCCATCAGACTTCCATTGGTGGAGAAAGGGTGCCATAATGCACGTGGACAAATCAGAGAGCTGAGCGAAGAGAATTGGGTCGTGCGCGCAACATGGAGTGTTTGAACTTTCAGTATCAAGATTCAAGAGAAGTTCTCTCACCTCTAGCGTGGACCAATGGAATCAATCCTATTGGTCCATGCTTCCACCTCTCGCACCGCGCAGGGCGCGCTACTCTTGGCTACTCTCTCGTTTGTTGTCATTATTGTCATTCTGTACTCTCTTGATTTTCCGTCTTCCGCGGCAACCTTTTGGTTTACGTGTAATCGCCAATCGCTCGGAAAACTGAGTTTATTCCAATAGTGTCTCCAAATTTCGTGCTGTTCTAAGGAGGATTATTCGGTTAGAAGTGAAAATCAACTGTTCATTCTTCGGCAGACTATACGTGTTTGTGCGCCCCGACAGAAATGTCAACTAAGTTGTGTTTTGAATGTGGTCATTATGCATAACGACCGTGAACTTCCAAATTGTACGTCGCCTTTTAAAGCTCTGATAATTTTACGATCAGGTTGTGTTGTTGTGTTATCAATCTTCTACTCTCACTAACATGAGAAATTTTCTTTCCGAAGTCTACATTCTCAAGCTAGTCACTGGTTCTTCATCACAGCCCAGTTTTTACCAAGCTACATCGATCATTTAAGATGCACTTTTGTACCCTATGTTTAATTTTATGGACAACAGTTGCATCTGTCAGCTGCATTTTCTTTGGAGCAGACAAAACCATCAATGAACTTTGTTTCTGCAAGGTATGTTATTTGAGGTTAAGATACGCTTTCTCTCTCCGAAAGTTAAATTTGCTGATAACACACTTTTTGTCAGTATGAACAAATTTTGTTTTACGAAAGATCTACAGTTTCTGAAAGCCTTTCGAAGAGAGACTCCCTGACAGAAACGTAGAAATTAATTTTGATTGCCAACAAGTGAAGTGAAATCCGAATGGATTCCAGAGTGAAAACAGGTGCGTTGTTGAAGTAAACTAATCCGATTCCACTTGGTGCTTGCCATTCCCTTGCTACTAAATGCAACCCAATGGGTCCTTAGCATCCGCCCCAAATTGTTCAGTGTTGGGTAAAAATATCGGGCATTCACATGTAAACAAATAAGTAATGAAGTAATCCCAACAGTCTCATAACGCAGACCATTTTCTATTGGGTAATTCTGTTTCCAAATGGTACCGAATAGTTTACTTCAAAAAGGTACCTGAAATGAATCAATCATACCAACCAGTTCCTATTACCTCGCTATTGACAGAGAGGATATTACCTCCGGTAATTCAATGGCTAGAGAACCATGAGGCCGATAGCCAAGCGATTCATAGCATGGATTAGCTCCAAGTTTTCCACTAATCGTCATCATCAAATGTTTAGATCGCATTTCTATTGTAACGCGAACATTTGATTAACCCATCAAAAAACAAGATTAGCCTAACAAAGGCAAGATTTTTAAGAGCTTAAATACTGCACTATCAGTGGCTAATCTAAATTATTAGTATACAAAATCAATTTGATGACAGAGAGGATGAGAGGATAACCTAGCTTGTTAGTTCTTGTACCAAGTAAAATTCAGGGAGCCTCTTGTTATTGGTTAAAAGAAGTTGGTTTAGAATGCACATTTTCCATTATTGCCGTTTGATTTTTTTTGCGCTTGTAAACGTCCGGGAAATTGCAGAGAAATGAGCAATGAATTGAACATTGGATGAGATTACCACTGATGAGTTAATGCCAATGTTACACTACCCAGAGCACCAATTTCTAATAGTGTCAGCACCAGATTAAGTTAGATGCGTAAGTAAGCAATTGTACTCCATTTTCTCATAAAGTAGGAACTAATGGAAGGTGGTGCTCCAACTGAAAAATCATAAGATAATCCCTTGTGGGGTGCTTAAAGTAGTAAAAAAATAAATTGCATCTGCTTATTCTGACAATGAGCTGGCAACATTCTAAACCATCTGAGAAATGGCTAATCATCAGTCGCGCATTAATTCTAAATTCAATCTACGAGCTTCCATCAACTTTCTTCTTTTTCACATTAGCCAAGTGAATTTCTAAGTAATATGGAAAATGACTGCAAGCGTACTTTATGAACTTCTATTCGCTTAGAAACATTTTTTGTGCTGCTCCATTGGGCTAGTGCTTATTTCATTACTTTTTTAAAAATCTGGAATTCCTTGTTCTAGCTGCAAGGGAAGGTTGATGACTGTAACTGCACCATTGATGCTGTCGACTATTTCAACAACAAGAAAGCTTATCCAAGGATTAGTAGTCTTGTCTTGAAAGATTACTTCCGGTTCTACAAAGTAAGTAAACTTTTTTGATCTTTCCAGAACTCCCTTTGTTAGAGAATTCTATAATTTTTTTCCAACCAACAAATGGGTACTTTAATAATATTTTCTCTATTTATTTTTCTCAGCTTTTAATTTTTATCTTGTTGAGAGAATTCAACAACAGCTACAGCTTTTTGTCGTGGAATAAATGTTGGAAATAATCCATTAATTGAATGGGCAGCTAGACAAGATCTGAACCAGATGAAAAAGTCACTTGTTTTTTTCTTTAAAATCTTACATAGAAAACTATGCACACCACGGGCATTCTGGATATCAATTCCTAAACAAGATATTAACAAGTATTTTCAATACAAATTGAATGTAAATTACCAAGATTACACAATTTACGTAATTTGTATTTTTTCTATTTAACTAATGTTAATTTAAACACTCATCTTGTTTGGGAGTTGATTTCCAGGCTTCCGGTTGTCTGATTTGTTTACCTCATAAAAATCCGAAGAGGAACCATATTTTGTAGTGCTTTAAGAATTCATACCTTGTCTAGTAGCCCACTAACTTTTAGCATTAATATTAATTTAGAGAATATAAAAACAACCGGTTCTAACTAATTTCATACTCTTCAATGACCTCAGTATTTTATCAATCCCCTGTTACAAACAGCAAGTTTTTTGACATGGAGGGGAGGGGAATAATTTGTAAAAAGGGCACTGCTTTCATTATTTCCCCCAGTAAGTACGCGAGGGGGAGGAAGGGTGCTCTTTATAGTAAATTTGTATAGAGTCCAAGTTTTTTTTACTTAGAGTCTGTTCAGATTGCCGATTTTGATTTCCAGAAAATTAGAAAGTTCATTCGTGAGGATATTAGATGTTTTAATAACATTTAATTGGACACTCTCATAGAATCATCCTTGAGGAAAAAGAAAAGAAAAGGAAATGAGGTGAAGTAAATTACGACGGGTTTTCAACCTACCCTTGACTCTAAGGGTAATAGTCATCCTCGATTGCACTGAATTAGAATTTTCTGGTTTTTTCTCTACATGGAGTAAAATTAAAGCAGCAGATAAATTTTCAAATGGAGTAGGTTTCCACATAACGTTTGCACCTCTACAGGCCTTGAATATTCTGCTATGTGCTCCATATCAAGAAAATTTATGGATCAAAGCCCAGTAAATTATTTGTCCTTTTCTGTCAGTCACATGTGGAGGTGTAAACATGTCCAATTGTGAAATGTAGCCACCCATATTTACCTAATTGATAGCAAGAGAAACTATGTGTGATGAATGCGTACAAACCAATCCTGCAGTTTGCTCTTCCTCTCTTTGTTAAATCTCCTCAACTTCCCCCCTCCCCCCCCCCTTCATTTTCCCAAGTTCTGACCAGTGCATTTGGCGGCATTATATTATGATATTATGTAGATTTTAGAGATGAGTGTCAGAAACTAAAAGCTGCAAAGGTTACAAAATTTGCTGGATCATTATTGCACAGGAAAGAGAAATCTATAAGAGTGATATGAATTTGCTGATTATTTTTTACTTTTCTCATGATTATCTTTTTTGTCCTCAGGTGAATTTGAAAGCTAAATGCCCATTCTGGACTGATGATAGTAGATGTGCCATGCGTTACTGTAATGTGAAGCCGTGTCGCCAGGTAAAATCTACATATTCTTGATTCGAACTCCCTACTCATCAAGTTTTGAGCGAATTTTCTTCTTTTGGAATTATTCTCTCAGTGGTGTTTTTCCATGCGGTTAGCCAAATTTGATTGCATTTTGCAAAAAGGAACCATGAATATTTCAATGTCGCTAAGATACCACAAATTTTTTTACCTGGCAAAAATAAACTGATTGTCTAAACAAGTCTTATGTTTATTTCTGATAAACTGTAAATTCAAGATGTAAATTACCCTTGTAATTTCAATTTTCCGCATGATTTAATCATTTTACTGCAAGGAATGTAAGTTGTACAATCCTAGCAGCATAAGAATGCTCTCGGTTCCTTTTTGCAAAATGCAATCCAATCATCACTCAGTCTGAAGACTTATTTCCTCTCATTTTATGTATTTAAATTTTTTTATTGATGATTGCGATATGATAGTTGGCAACTGCCTGTTCTGACTTCCAAGGCACCTAATGAGCTAGGAGCTGATGATTTTAATTTAGGAAGAACTGATTTACTACAGGAACGATCCTGTAAAGTCTCCTAATCTTGGAATTATACGCTTTCAAACAACTTATACAGAGAAATTAATAATTAAACACTAAAAAGTGGCCCGAAATTGTATGTCACTGCTGAGTGTGATCTTCTGATGAGGTCTAACAAGGCCCAAACCGGTAAAGATCTCTCGGCGTGACTCCAACTTAATATTCCATTGCAAACTGCCTGAGCTGAACACTCTCCCCCCTCAGTTTCGTACTGGTGCGCATTAGAGTTCTAAAAATTTATTTTTGTCTCTGATTTTAATTTTTGGTATTTCTTGGCTTTGTTTCCCCGCGGAGTGGTGTGGACCCAGCACCATTTCTCCACCTTGTTTTATACAGAGAAACATTGTTATTGCTTATGAATCTGGAGGATCTGTAGTTTAGCTTTTCAGCCTCTGATCCCCAATTGGGCTGTTATTTACATCAGTATTGGGCAAAAAAGAACTCTTGTAATCCATCAAAATGGTTAGTAAAATAAAATTTTGTAAATTATATCAAGTCTTTAATTTCTATAAATGTGAGATTTGCTGTTCCTTTTTTCCCTGTGAAATAATTACTACTTTCATTTTTATCCTCTTTCAGTCTGACCTTCCTCCCGTCTACAAAGGATTTGCAAATGGTGGAGATGTATCTTACACGGTAAAGATTTTTACTCTGATTTATTTTGAACTTTGTCAGTGAAAAGCATTCTCTGGATATTAGGGTCATTCTGTGTCAAATCAACGAGGCACCTAGCTTGACCATCTTGGATTTTGATTCCATTTGGCTAACTTTATGTACTAAGAAAAAAAACCCAAGTTTAAAATTATTAATTCATTTTTGAAATCAGCCAAAATACGGAGCTGCCAATTTTTCCCAGGTAATTTATGTCATCACTCACAGCAAACATTAAAAACAGAAAATCTTTATTTTCAATAATGGGAATACTTTGATTAAGCGCATCACTCTCATAAGATCAGGAAAGAACAAATAACTGTCCGAAATTCGGGTCAATTTTCACAATTTTTGTCAGTTTGCATTCATGTAATGATTCATCCTGTTTCTGACGTGCCTTGATTTTCTTTTCAGCTATCAAAGAATCTAGCAAGCGATGACTGTGAGCAAGACACCAATGCAGAGCTCAGCTTCCTGAACACAACTCTGAGGTATTTTCGACTTTACTCTTTTGTAACGAACCAAATTTACTCTTTGAGCCCGTATACATATCAGATAGCTGTTCAATTCAATTAGCCAATCCAACCAAAATGGGAATAAATGTGGGCAAAAAGTAAAGGGTAACATCCATTGTTTGTATTACATTTTTAAACAACAGGGAAATTCTTATGTTCAAAGGACTTTTTTTTGTTTTTTTTTTCATGTATTTTAGTGCAGCATTTTGTGAAAAACATACAATGCTGCAGGTGTTTTTTACTTGATCTTATTGTCAATTTTAACACCTTTAGAGATCATTTTTATCTTTTGTGGCGGAGAATTTGAGATTGTCCAATACTATCCTCCATACATCAAATTTTTGCCCCTTCAAGCAGAGAAAAATAATTATCGGAAGAAGAAACTTCTCTTTTTGAAACGGTTCCTGTCGACCTTTAAAATTTTGTAGTTCACGATCCACAATTTTTCCTATTTGCGCATTCGGATGTAGAAGTGAAATTCCTGTGAACTTCCTTATCGGTAACTTTTTTTGCTTTTGACTTTCAGTGCATCAATCATGGAAGACTTTGCTGCTTGGAAAGCATACGATGATGCCCAGGACTACTACTGTCAGTTACCAGATGTTGATGATGAAGCAGAATATGTGGATCTAACGCTGAATCCAGAGCGTTTTACTGGTTACAAAGGAAAATCAGCACATCGTATTTGGAACTCAATCTACATGGAAAATTGTTTCAGGTGAAAAATTTTCTCGTTCAAACTCCATCTCTAGGTATCATATTCATTTGTTCCTAGATGAGTTCTGAAATGGCTGTTGATGAGATACATATGTAGCCATTAAGAGTTCAATATTATATCGAATGACGTAGTCACTAAATCCGTCTATTGGCTGTAGAATCTGCGCAAGCAGATTTTATTAATGAAAACTCTCATTGCCTTAAAATAACCCTAAGTCATAAAATTCCGTTGAAACTTGATAGGAAAGTGACTATTGTTCCATTACGACCTCCATTTTCAAAGCTGCTTCAGAAATTTTTTTAAAACTAGATTATCATAAGTAAAGGCTTGCATCACAGGGCAGCACTGTCAAAGAAAGGTGCAGCAACCTCTGAATTCAAGAGGTATTCAATTTTCCTGTAGCATGATCCGGTATGAATTTTACAAGAGTAGCACAAAAAATTGTATAATATTTTCATCAGCATCATAGGGGCACAGAAAGTGCTAGATTGCCTCAACAACAATCTTTCCTTAGCAGAAATACAGGAAGTCTCTTCACGCAAAAACTAATTCTAGTATCTTTATTTTTCTAGGCCCAAAAATTCTTATGGTGCTTACATTCGGTCCTCAAAATTAAATGGTAAGTTATCATAAATACTTTTATTTGTAGTGACAGCATATTCATTGTATGATGAAACATAAGTCAAATCTTCATCATAAGAACAATAAGCAATATTGCCATAGGAGTGCATGTATTAATCTATCAAGTGGTGCTGATTCAAAGCTAATCAGAGATTTACTTTTGTTCAAACATTCAAGAGGGATCTTTAGACCTTAATTATTTTCCCAGCTTCTAAGCAGCTTTCATCTCTTTAACATTGATTAACTATGGTTCGAGGCTTCTGTAGACGTTCAAAGAAATTGAAAGACTATAAGCCTCAGTGGTTGACAGAAGGCTATCATCCTGTTGTTCATTCCTACTTGGTGTCCTCACCAACAAATCTCTTGACGATTTCACCAACTTGTGCCCTGATTGCATCATGAACAGATGCTCCAATAATGTCATTAATGAGTATTCTGGTGGCATCATTAGCCAGAAATAGTTGAAAATTTAGCATTTCATAATAACATACTTTTCACATGGAAACAAACATCGCATGATGAATTTATTTTCAAACAAATTCAATATGAAATTTCTTGTTCATATTTTATTTTGTGGCACTCCATGTTTGTGATGTTGTGCCTCTGTTATATTATTTAGTGGTTGAAAATATAGTCTGCATCATTTTTATTTCTTTATTCTCAATCGTTTTTGAGTTGCAGGTATGTGCTTAGAAAAACGCGTTTTCTATCGAGTCGTATCAGGTCTTCATGCCAGTATCAATTTACATCTCTGTGCAAATTATCTTCTCTCAGGTAGGATTTCTCTTCATCATTTTTTCCGTATTAGTCATATTATCTCCATTTCAATAATTATTGCTCATTTCTCTCGTTTCTAGAAAAAACCTCTAAAAGAGGATCTCTGGAAAAAACCTCTAAAAGAAGATCTATCTCATACATCCACCTTTTCTGCACTTTTCTGTAAAATGTGAAAATCTGGAGAGCAAAAAATGTCACATCCATGAATATGCAAAACGTGCAATCCATTGACTGCAGCAAATGCAAAAAAATGTTTAAGGTTTGAGAAAACAAAGTAATAATTAAATATTTTAGTGTGCTTATTGCAAGATTAGATAGTGATGTAGTATCCCGATAAAAAGAATGTTAATGCTACAAGTGAAAAAGTAATTTTCTATTTTCCTCCCATATTAGTTCAGTAAGTTGATACTTGCATTTTTTTTTTTTTTTAATATTAATCAATGTTTATCTTTTGTAATCACAGAGCGAGAATCTTATGGTATAATTAGTGACACTGGGCGGTGGGGCAAGAACTTCAAAGAATTTGAGCGACGTTTCAGTCCAGCCATGACTGATGGAGAAGGACCTCAGTGGCTTCGTAATCTGTATTTTGTATACTCACTGGAACTGAGAGCTCTGGAAAAAGCAGCTCCTTATCTAGAGCAAGAAAAGTACTACACTGGTCGAGAAAAAGAAGATAATGAAACAGTTGCAGCTGTTAACGACTTCTTGCGTGTTGTGAAGTAAGTATATGATTCGTTGATGGATAAATGGTTAACTTGCTCTGTGGTCCTAAAATAGCAGAGAAATAAATCAATATATCAATGAAAGACCAAGATAAATGGATGACAATCAGGCTACGAAGCACAGCTAGTATTATCATTGACTTTGATTAAGGGAAGAGGGCCTAAGGATGTAGCTGTAGATCCTCACACTAAGAAATTAAAAATTTAACTCTTGAGCAGCTCTGGTACTTATTTGTCCTATATCTGGCATCAATTTTGAGCTGATCGAACCATAATTTGATTGTTTCATGCAGGTTTTTTTATCTCAACCTAGATGCAAGATTTGATTCTAGAATCTTGATAACAGAAACCATCAAAACCTGTTCAACAGGGCTTCAAATTCTCTACTGTACAGAATAAAGCAGAGAGTGGTAACTGTGATCACAAAATATTGAGATGTCTCATGAAATATTTCATTCCTCATATATTATGAATTATGATGTAATTAACGTTGAAGATAATTTTTGAGCATGACTTTTAAGTTGTCTCTTCGTCCATCTTTTTTTTTATCCTCTTGTACTATGTTTCTAATCATCATTTCTTTTGCCCTCTAGAACTTTTCCCGAGCATTTCAACGAGAGTGCAATGTTCCAAGGGGGCGACTCAGCTAAAAAATTGAAAGCTGATTTCAAAAGTCACTTTCGAAATATATCTAGAATTATGGACTGTGTTGGATGTGATAAGTGTAAACTATGGGGTAAACTACAGGTTTGTACAACTTGAATCTGAATTTTATTTTAGACTTAAGATTGGTTATCCATCTGAAGTTTCTTGAAAACAATTTTTCACATTTCACATCTTTTCCACAAACGTTTTTTCGATTTATCATTCAAAAGTAATCAATAAGAGAATTCATCAGAAATTATTCTACAAGTATATTTGCGGGGCTGCTGGCTTATGATAACAATTTTGGACTCTCAACTTGTGACGTTTTATGTTTTCTTCACTCTCTTTATCTTTTTAAAATGTTACTGTCTCTGTAAAGTATAATATAGTATTGGATCCTCAATGGCAAAAATTTAGATCGAAGGACATTCCTATTATGAAAATAATAAGAAAACAGGAATCTTAGAACATTTTCTACGATCAAACTTAGCCCTAATGGAAGTTCTGTCTCAACTGTCTCAAGTGTCTCGCCAAAATTAGAAACTAATTTTTAGTGAGTTCAACTAGACTCCAGATATTTTGCAGAAGTATCTAACCTGATCCATACATTTTAACAGATTGTTCTTTTTTCGGGCGTTAAGTATCTCATAATTTAGAATTCATTCATTCGTTCTAATAGGTACTTGTAATTCGTCCCAATTTTTTCCCAACATATAATGAGTATAATGAGTCGCAACAGGAAATTTATTACCTTTTTCTTTGATGTACTGGTACTGGAAACGAGGTCAACAAAAACATAACAGAAACGAACTGGTTTCGAGCATAATCCATCTGAGATTCTTAGCGCAGAAAACAAAGTCCCGCTCTATGTCCCATTGAGCCAGTTATTCATCAAGGTAGCAGAATTAACAGAGCAATTCACTCATTTGATCTATTTTGTTTTATCTTGTTTTCAGATACAAGGTCTAGGAACTGCATTGAAAATTTTATTTGCAGACCATGTAGACTTTGAAAGTGAAGCCCAAAAAGGACAATTTAGTACCTTTAGGCTACGACGAAGTGAAATTGTAGCCCTCTTCAATAGCATTGCAAGGTAATGAACTTCCCAATCTTGGCTTGTGCAGATTGAGTATCAAAAAGTAGCTTTTATAAACCTCACAATCTTGGTTTTTGCGATTTTGGTTGCTTATACTACCAGCTCAGCAATATTTATAATAATGGAGGGATCCTATACCTAATACACCTGGCTAACTTATCTTTTTTTTTTTTTTTTTGTAACATTGAAGGGTCCAGTATATGTTCATACCCTGATCAAGAAGTTTTTGACCGTAAACTCCGCCAATGATGTGCAATGTTCATACAATGCTCGTTTCTCTACCCAATCTTGTAAAGTTAATTCATGACTTCTGCATGTCACATGCACTGGGCTTCCTATCAGAGTGCATCGTTGCGCATTGAGATGGTTCAATTTTCAATTTCCTAGCTAGGCGATCCGAATTTGACGGTCATAATCAACGATTTTCTGGAGCTGGTAATACTGAGGGTGCTAAGGGGGGAAGGGGCCATCACTAAAAAAGTGCAGGAATTACTTATTGTATGGTACTTGAAGTCGTAAAAAACACACAAAAATGAAAATTTAGATGAAATTTTGCATGGTTTAAGGAGATGACAATATCTGAATAATGTACAAAAATATTTTATTTATTCCACATCGTTTTTGAGATACCTGCGAGTGTGCATTACTTTTCGTTCAGCTCCAGTAACGATGACCCCTTTTTCCTTTTCCTCCAGGCTATCATCTAGTATTTATGAGTTGGATCAATTCGGACTGACTATGAGGTAGTTCGTGTGATATGAGTCATTTAACTCCGGATGTCGCCTCCAATTCAACTCAAGCCTCAAGTCTCGAATTGAGAAGCTGTGTAGAACATGACCAACAATGAGCCCCCATAGTGTCAACATCATCTTGTCGTAAGTCTGTAACAATTTTATTAGTTACTCATCTTACTATTTATCGAGTGTTAGTAGGACAAAATTAGTAAATGTGTAAATTATCTGAAAAAAATGGGATGGGTTCACTGGGAACCTCTATGCATCGCACTACGAAATGCATTAAATGCATTACACTTTGCGTAACACTAAAAAGTTGTTTTCCAATGATGGAATCAACAAACTCCTCTTTCTATGATCAATGTGGAATTATGATGATGGAAACGATAGGAAGATAATTAATTGTGTTTCAGTTCATTAGATTCCTCGCGACAGGGTTCAACAAGTCCTGTAAGGGCAAGAAACTAATAGTTGTCTGTGTATCTTGTTTGCCTTTTTTTTCTTTCCTCCTTTTTCTTTATAAGGGATTCTTTTGCAGTTAGGTTTTTGCCTTATACCAGCAAAATTTAGATTTGAAAGCACAATACTTGTGTGTAGGTTTTTGCAATGAAATGAAACCCCAAGAAATTTTGGTTATGGTGCTGTTTTGCATTGTACTCTCTCTTTTTGGTCAAATTATTTTTTCTTTTTTTGTAATATCTAGTCAGTACTCTAAATAGACAGTGGTTTTTATGTGAACTGCTCACACAGGAGTTCAGATTTTATCCTTTTTTTTATCCTTCAACTCTGAAGGACCTATAACTGTTTTTGCAGAATTGATATTATTATCTGCTCTGTGAAACTGTGAGTAAATTAATCTTTGATGCAGTTTGAGATAGAGAACTCTCTTCAAGAAGGGTTTTAAAAGTGTTCCATGAAACGGCATGTCAAGAAATTTTGATAGATTTTAGGAGCATTGAATTGATTTACCGCCATATTTTGCCAGGAAAGAGAAAAAAAAACATATCTTACATGTCACCTCTTGAGAAACTGCATCTTTCTGGAATAATTATCAAATCTCAGTGCCTACTTTTTTCCCATGTTTGATTTTTCCCTAAAATTGAAAGTTGTCTTTGAGGCTTCATAGTTTAAGGACCCTCAAAAGTCAGGAATGATAAGTTTCCCCAATTCTTTCATTATTCTAGGTCAGAAAATTTGATGAAGTATGATAACTGAATCAGTAAAAAATTTTTACTAACACCTAAGAAATTTGTTGACCTTAAATTTGGTTTAAAAATACCGCACTTACCCCTGAAACTTATTCATTTAAATAACTTTTAGAGGTTTTATGAGAAGGATGTGAATGACGCAAAATCATATTGTCAGACAAAGTTATTCAAAATTTTATGAAGTCTTAATCAATTTTAGTGATCAGAGAAGTTTTTTTTTGGAATGGCTAAATTAGTCCACTCTCCTAAATTTTCTCCCTTGCATGGGAGCAGTAAGAATCCATTAAACTAAGTTTGTTAAAATAATAATAATTTAAAATGAGGAAGAACAAATAACGACCCTATGTTCCGAAAAGTGTATGTTCCTGGAATGTATAATTCCAATCCAGTGCAATGGAAGCTCAATTTCCTAAAAATAGATCAAGATACTTTATGTTACAATTTAATTCTCCTCTGTAAGAGAGAGAATGTTTAATGCTTGTGAATTTTGGTGGTTTTGTTAATTTTTAAGAATTGCCTTTGTTCGGTAAGCTCCTAAGGGCTGTCTTGCTGGATATTTTAATTTTTGTGTCCCACTCAGTTTTTGTATCAATTAATTTTGGCTGATGCAGCCACATGACGGAGAGTATAATTCTTCGTATTGGTACTCGTCAAGGTGTTCAGCAATTCTTATTTTCAATTCAAAATAAATGGTGAACTATAATTTAGCTTGCCCCTCTACATAAAAGTGAAATCATAACAAATTAACTCGCAAAGCTGCATAAATTCAAGCATAGCTTGATGCTGTAATTTATACCTGGTATGGCCCTGTAATTATTTGTGCAGGTCTTCTTAGTAATGATTCTTAAGCTAAAACTGCACATTGTTTAGGGATAAAAAATGAACTATGTTTCACGCACTTCGAATATAAAATCCAAATGCAGGGGAAATAAATGAAGCTTTGCAAAATGAAGAATTGCTGAATGCCTTGATTCTTTCAACCAATATGCTCATATGCATTTGCGTAAATTGTTTTTCACTCACTCAGTTATGAAAAAACAACAAGTGAAATACATATTGTTGCAGAGCAATTTTGTGTAATCAAGTTTATGAAAATCTAGAGAGGAATTTATCATTGAAATGTGCAATCGCTGCTTTTGCCTGAACTTTTGCTCTAATTACCCTCCTATCTGGAGGAAACAATCTCAGATCCTCATAGTTCGGATCTCTAGGGACAGTTTGTTTGCCTGTATTTCTATCTTTAAGTTTATCACAAAAACTGACATTACATCACATGCAAGTTGCTGTGATTCTATGTGTTATGGTTCATGTCTCATACGTTAAGAATCAGTTTAAGTAGTTAAAACTTCCAAAACTGTTTTCACTGAACTTGAAGAACAAAATATTTATGCAATATTTGATGAATCGATCAGCCAGAAATCACATACAAGAATTCATAGAACTATAGTAAAGACACATTTCTTTCGTAGAACTTGTTAATTTATAAGATTCACAGACTTTTAGATTATTCAGTTTTGTAGCTTACTTTTCTTATGTTGAGGATAAAGAACACTGGTCAATACAGGTCAGATTGTCTTGAGGGTAAACTTTGATTCTGTGTAGATGGCAAATTCTGGCAGTGACCGTAGCCGGATTTAGGCACAGGCCGCCTAGGTTGCGGCTGAGGACAGCAAATTTTTGAGAGGCGGCAAAAATAGGTTAAATTTTGTTATTTTTTACACAGATCTTACAAGCAGCACCTGAGATTCTTTTGTTTTTGTTTTGATGAATGCTTTGGCAGACATTATACCAAGAGACAAATTTTCCTCCCTATACAATTTAGAAATTTGAATCAAGGTTTTTTGACTTGCCTAGCCCCCCCATGACAACAAGTTGTGAGTATGGCAAAACTTTAACGGCCTAAAGGTGGTAAATACGTAAATCCGGCTATGCTAATGACGTCTGATTTTCTTGATCAGTGAAGTTTTGCATGAAAATGTTGCAATTTTGCCCAAAAATCAAGCTTGTCCAGGAAAAAGTCCACATTCTAGAACAACTGTGTATGACTAAAAAAAAGGAAGGTCATATTTAAAGTCAGGAGTTATCAATACAAAGGAGCGTGTACATGGAATATCTAAGAATATTCCCTGCTGTTCATGATACTAAAATTTTTCTTTTCTTTTGATGAACTTTTATACAGTGCTCTTTCTCTCTCTACAACTACTTTTGTCTTTATGAAAATGTCTCTGGAAGGAACCGTCTGGTCCTTTGAACTTCCGTAAATCACACATACTTTCCCCAGTGTAACGGAAGAATCAACACGGCAGCGTTTTCAATCATAAAAGCATGCAGCTCTGATTTTTGAAAAATTAAAATTTCCCTGGAAAAGCTCTATTTTTTAGGAAAATTACGATATTCAGTTCGGAACAGGACTAATCAAGAAAAACAGGTACAGTGGACTCTCGATAATTCGAAATTGAAGGGAATCGGCTTTTTCTTCGAATTAGCGAGGTTTCGAAATAGAGAGAGTTCGAATTAAAGAGATTCATGTGGGGAAATTTCGAATTAGAGAGGTTCGAATGTGGAGAGGCAAATGGACGGATTTAAGTCAAAAGGAACCAAAAATATCAGTTTATTTCTTCCCGGAGGTTAAAATTACACTAAATTATTATTAAGTATTAATTATTTATATTTAATTTTAAAATTATTAATTACATGTTTACATTTTGACAATCCTATCAGCTCTTTCAGACACATAGGTACATAAACAGTTGACTTCGAATTGTAGAGGGAGTGTACCGTCTTATTTCGAATTATAGAGGGAGGACCATATTCACTTTCCACACTTCGAATTACAGAGAGAATTTTCGTCGCAATTTCGAATTATAGAGGGCCGCGCCAGCTTAAAAATTTCGAAATAACGAGGGGAGAAAAATACATTGATTTTCTTCGAATTATCGAGAGATTTTCAAGGGAAACGGACTTTCCTTCGAATTAACGAGGTTTTCGAATTATCGAGGTTCGAATTATCGAGAGTCCCCTGTATTACCTTCTAAATGAGAAATAAAAATCCACCCTTTATCAATTTTTCCAATTTTTTTAACAAAGTTATTTATTTCTTGACCAATGTAATTATCCCATAATTTTTTTTCTTCTTGAGAAACAAATTGAGTGTACAGTCCATGAGAAAAATTTTGGTTTTAACACTAAAGTTTTCGTCAAACTTTATCTTTAATGTCATGGAAGCTAATTTTTCTCTTTTTAAGAACCTTTGTGCTAAGCGGATTTAAAATTTAGAAGTGTAGAGATTCTATTTTGATAAATTTAATGTTCCGTGTGTCAATTATTATGAGTAAATTTTTACAAAGGGTCATTTTACTCACCTTTTTTCATCAATGATTTTTTAATTTTTAATATTTTATTTCAAGACATTCATCCTCTAAAGACAAAATTTTTCTACAAGGAACATTGAATATTTAGGGTTTACTGAAAGCCTTCTATCTATCCTCTCCCCCCCTTCCTCAATGTTTGAACATTGGGAGGTGGAAAGATGGAACTTAAAGAATGTTCCTCTCTTAAAGGAGATTATTTTGGAGGGAAGAAAGGAGTGTTACGGGCCCCCAACTTTCCTCTCAAATAGCAACCCTTACTTTGTTATGAAGGAAAGATCTTTGTTGGAAAGACCATATTATAAAACCATTTTGGGCACAAATTGTAAGTCTGTAGCCATCATTGTTTCAAAATTGTGACTGGTCAGAGTTTTGTAAATTTCTACTGCATACGGTCGCCATTTTGAATCGTGCAACGCCCATGCAATGCTTATATCCGTATTATCCGTTCCCTCTCCGCTGGCATACTATCGAAATTTTCCGATTTTGAAGACGCCGACCCAAAGCAATATGCAAAAATGCTGGGAAGATTGGGCATTATTTTCTGACCAAAAGGCAAATACCCCTATCCATCTTCGGATTTGGAACATTCTTTTACTATACATCTCCATAGGGGCTCCTAATTTTCCTAAGAGGGGCGTCCAAATGTTTTTACTTCCTTCAAAGCCAGTTTCTTTTAAGATAGAAACATTCCCTTTTCTTTGCCTATCTACAATTGTTCAAAAGTCAAGGAGGGAGGGGGGGGGGCTTTTGATGTATGTACTGTTTTAAAGGGTACATTGCATAATGTCTGTAACACCCTCGCCTACTTCGAATTAGGTAGAATATTGTATTTACTTGTTATGTTTTCTCTTGTTATTACTCTTTCTTGTTAACTTACTTGAACTCATACTCTTCATGTTTATTGATAATCTGCGACAAAAATGTTATGATTAATCATTTCTGCTGTAGTTTACTAAAAATTTCTGGGTTTTGATATGTATGCACATTTCTGATGCCAGTTGAGCTACCTGCAATAGATCTATAAATAATTTTCTTTTCTGTAGCAGATCTACTGTTTCACTAACGCTAGTTCTGTCCTTGTATAATTTTAATGAAACTAAGTGTAAGAGTTTGGTTCTTCATGATTCACATATTCAACCAAATTTCGTCGGTTGATGAACCACAACGAATCAAGCACAGCTAATAGAATTTTATAGTTTGACACAAATTCACACTATCCTCCATGATTGTGAGCAAAAATACTCTCCCAGTTACCCTCCTGTCACAGTCAATTTTTGGCCTTTTGAACAACTTTTCCCCTTTTTTTATTTCTGTTTTCAAGTTCCTTTTTTTATGTGTCCAATAGAATTTCCACCCTCTTTCTTTCTCTCCCTCTCTATACTAAATATTTAGTGCCACTTTTTAATGTAGCATTAGTACCAATGCTCAGCTTATGTCTCAAGCAAGTATGGTAATTTTTACAGTATCTGCTGTAGACCTAGAAGCATTTACATCAGAACTGCCAAAGTTGTGCAGTTATCGGGAAAGAATTTCACTTGCATGTAAAAACTTCTAAAAATTCAAAATTTTCTATTTGACTTTTGTACTAGTTTCCTCTGTTCCTACCAAAGAAATTAAGATTGGTTTCAACCAATTTGGAAGATGATTGAGTCAATAATTCTGTTCCTGTGATGCTCATATGGTCGAAGGAAATAATTTTTTCGATTTGTGCGGTTTGTTTGAACTTAAGTAAAACAGTTCATACAATTGGCCGGTGGGCAAGGTATGAAAACAAAGGAAAAATTGCATAATAGAAATTCAAAGCTTCTCTTACTTTTCATTTTGCCGAAAGACTGTTTCAGAAGGCTATCAGTCCTTCTCCTCAGTATAATTTTATAGAAATAAATATTTATCTACAGGGTGATCCAAAAGTCTGGCATCATCAATACCAGGTATCACCTCTGCAATTTTTGAACAAATTGAGTTAGACTTGAAATTTTGTAAGTGCTTTTAGGTCAAAAGAAACGACTCTTGGGAACTCTCAAAATATATAAGGGACCACCCTGAAAAGGAGCAAAACCCTTGGGAGTTGAACAGGTGATGCAGGACTTTGGGATCACCCTGTATATAGTATATAAGACTCATAACAGCTGTATATCTGAGAATGTACTTTTTTTTCAATATACATACACTTTTTGTTTACATCAAGCATACCTTAAGGTAAAAGAGTAAAACATGTTGCCGCCAATACAGTAATGGAAAAAAAGTCCAATTTTTAAGGCTGTTAGAAACATTCGCATCAGATCATATAATGCCTCAACATTTTAAATAGATAAACCAGACAAATCAATTTAATAGTGCTCCTGAGGAATTTTTAAGTAAATAAATATAAAACACTGTAAGTGAATATCTACTCGATAAGGTGGACTGATGCCATTATGAGAATATCATGTCAATTCTCTTTTTTCTTTTCTTGCGGTTTCTGCATTGCTTTATTTATTTTTTTCCTCATTCAAAATGAAATATGAATGCATGATTCTGTTTACGCGTATTGATCAAGAATTTTAAAATGATAAATGATGTGCGTGTTACAATGTGACATAAACTAAATTTTGAAGTTCTCGCTGGCTGCTCCTATTTGAGCATGCTCCCTGTTTCAGTATATCTGGATCCTAGCTAAATAGATCACGTTCATCTGTTAAGTTCTACTTTATGTTAGTACATTCCATTTACTTTAGTTAGTCCATAATCTAATCTCTCATTTTTTGTTTGCCTCCTTTTTTCCCCTTCTCTAATCATTGGTTTCTCTCTTTTTTAAATAGTTAAAAACTTTTAATAATAAATTAAAGAATATTCATATCATACTTTATTATTTGGAATGTTTTTCTGTTAGATTTCAAGTGATATGATTTTTTTTATTTTTCTGCAAGAGCAGTGAAGAAAGTATGATTTGCCTCACTTTTGGACGTGGAAAAAAAAACACAAACAAACAAACAGTAAAAAAGGAATTTTCAGCAACAAGATTTTCATTTCATTCTTTAATGATGGAGGCATACTTTCTTTTAAAGCTTAGATTCCTCTATTTTCGCATTGCCAGAGATTTCTCGAAAACTGTTCAATACCATTTTCATTAAAAATAGGAAGATGCCATGACATTGGTTAACCTTAGCCACTGATGATTTTTTCACTCTTTATTTTAAAAATTATTCCCTTCTTATTTGCAATTCCTCTAAAACCATTTGAATGGATTACTGATACCTTCAAGTTCAAGATCTAGTCAGAATTGAAATAAATCCCCTTTAAATATAAAGTTTTTCAATCCCATCAAGAAGTGGCACTCTTCAAATTTATATTTTTCATCACTACATTGGGCATATAAAAACAAGATTTCATCTCAAATTATTCATTATCCTACCTTATTTCAACTTTTTGTTGATGAAATCCTATTGCTGGTTTAATGATCCATTCTATGCAAAAGAAAATCTGAATTATTTATTCTACAGTCAGTGTTTGTCACCAAATTGTTTCGAATTTTGATCTTTCTTCATTTGACACACCTTCGGATATGGTGTATTTTTAGAAATATTTTTCTTTTCTTTTTTTTATCTGCTTTTTTTACATTCTATTTTCTGTTTACTTTTGTTTTTAAAATCTCACAGAACTGAATTCGGTCCACATTGTTTTGATCATTGCGAAATGTTTTTTTACTCTAGTTGTACCTGATATGTGATTTCTAAGTTATTTTTTAAATATTTATTGTCTTGTTTAACTAACTATCTTTTGTTTTTGTAAATATGTATCAACGGACTGTAAGTTTAGTCTCTTTTGCAAAATAAAGAAGTATTTATTAGAGCAACAAAAAATTCTTAATGATTATGTGTGACCTCTAAAGTTTTAGATCAAAATGTATATACTTTTTGAAATTTCCCTGTTACTCCAAATACTCCCTTTCCACATGGAAAACCCTTTTAATAGGGCAGTTACAAGAAAATATCAAGTGAGGGGAGTTCTATCAAGGGACTCAGATTTTCCCTTAATTTTTACTTCATTGAGCTCAAAAGCATTGGTCATTAATCTTACATCATATCACCAGCATCAAGCTTTGAGGAAAATTCTTTGGAGTTTTCAAAATAAAACCTCATGGATTTTGAATTAATGGAACTTGATTTTCCTCTTAGCTTTGTGATACTAGGGTTTGCTTCTACACTTATTTTTTGATATGTGGAAGGATTTGAAGCGGGCATCACCTGAAGTCAATCAAACTTTTCAAGAGTATTGTTTTCTTATGTATTTTGCAATTGTTTCCAATTGCATGTTTGTTGTTCCTTCATATATGGTACCAATCTTGACGTCTCTGTAAAATTTTTCTTGTAGATAATCTCTCGTGAAGCCCACGCCCCCCATCCAGTCAATGCATTTGACCGTTGTTTTTTGAGCCACCTCTGAAACATGACATACGGACCAATGAGTTATACCAAATTTTAAAAATATATAAAACTGAAGTATTGCACTGAAATAAGTCAGTGGATTGTCTCTAAAAATTCCTCTAAAGATCTGGAAAAAAAGAGGAAGAGATAAGAAAGATTTCTTTACCTTCTGATTTCTGGGAGGATAGATTTTGTTGATGATTGGGAGTACCAGAGTGCCTGGAGCGACTGATTGTGAGCCTCTTGTATGTATAAATAAAAGCTTTGTAAGCCTGTATTTCCAATGTCTGCATTGATAATAATATCTTGCTTAAAAGAAAATACCCTTCTAGACTCCTGCAAAAGCTATCCAACAGCATGGCAAAGTTTTACAATTTTTTTCTCAGGCACTTCAACTCTCTTTCAAAAATGTATTAAACATTATTGGTGAATTCTTTTTTTACAATTTGTGCTAACATGATTCCCAAAAAAGTTCACCCATTATCTTTGATTTTTTCGTGAAAATTAGAGTCAAAGTTGGAATGCTGAAACTTTACAGACCGCTAAGAATTTTCAAACATTAATGCTTGGTTGAGAATTTGTATGAACTCATTGTACTTTGTGTAACTGTCGGAGAGAAATGATACATACCACTTGAAAAATATTTTGCCATTGATGCCTCTTGAATGAAAGGTTCACCAGCTTCCACTTTCCTGGCTGCATTGTATACTAGTAACCTGGCAGCTTCAATTTCAGTGGCTATTTTGGCAATGTCATGCTTCATACTCTGAAAATCAATGACAACATCATTTCAATTTTAAATGAAAGGGCAAAATAAAGAACACTAAAATTTTTTAATTTTCAGTCCTAGTGAAAAGCAGAATCTTGTAACCCTAGGGAATCTTACAGATCAATGGAAAAATTAAAGAAAAAGGCGTAACTCAATTGAAACATTTAAAGTTCTCTGATTATTTTTTATTTTCTTCTAGGAGCCTATCCACAATGTTTTTTGTGATTTTTTTAGAATGAGTGACGAAAATTTCAATAGATACTGTTCGTGAGTTTTTCTCAAAAAATATAAAAAATAAATGGTGACTTACAACATCACAATCTGAGATACAATTTTTTCGACTTCAGCTGTCAAAATGTTTAATAGCTTTTGGGGCTCAGATACCTACTTACAAAACTAAGGAAGTTAAGCAATGAACCAAGGGACAAATTAGGACTCTTCAGTAGCCCCCCTCTATATTTTACTTCATGAATAGATATATTTTTTTTCTTTGGGAGTTAAAATGTTCCTGTCAAGGACATTGCTGAGGTTTTTTTTTTTTTTTTATCATGGGAAAAATGAATGTTAAGTACTTACTGATATCTGAACTTTACAGTTATCTAAATGACACGTTTGTACGCAACATTTTATGTTTAAAATCCAAATTATTACATCATTACATGTTTTCTGAACTCACACGTTATATCTCAGCACAAATCCTTCGAAAAAAGACACAATTTCAATCAAAGGATCATACTGATGTGCATAATACCTACTTTACAATCAATGTCAAAAAATAAAAGAAGGATAATCATTACCTGGAATGCGAAAATTTCCTGTCCAAATTGTTTTCTTTCGAGTGTATATTTAATTGTTGCATCCAAGCATCCTTGTGCAAGACCGACCATCTGTGCTCCGATGCCTATACGACCCTCGTTAAGGAAACTTGCTGCATAAATGTAACCTTTTCCAAATTCACCAAGAATATTGTTTTTTGGCACCTATCAAATAGAAATTCTCTGGTGTTACAAATTAATTAATCACTCAAGAGGCTCCAAACTGTTTGTGAACCTCTTGCATTTCATATCACCTTCTCCTCTTTAAGTTATCAAAACTAACTGTTGGTAAACTTTTTGAATTTTTGCCCTTATTTGTACTAAAAATTGCTGCTCTCTTGTAGTCGTCAACAGTCAGGAATATTTTTAATATCAAATAGCGAGAGAAAGTATTAACACTGTATATTTTGAGTGCAGTGTATCCGTTTACTGATCTAACTGGTATGCTAGTTCTTCTATCCAAATCCAGCATGAGACCTAGACCTGGTCAGCTCCTTCTCAAAGATTTTTTTGTTTTTCATTTACACTACTCCTGGATTCCCTTGCCCAAGCTTTAGGAGCTTTCATTTCCAAATCTCTCCTCCAAAGATAACGAAATATGCACTTTTATCTAATTTCTTTCTCTGCGATTGCAAAAGCAAACTAGGTGACATATATTTGATTTAGATTTTTCGTAAGGGCACTAAGTTTGAAATATTTTCAATTTTGGAAGAAAAAAAGAAAAAGAAAAACTTACTCGAACATTGTCAAAGTAAACCATGCAAGTCCCAGAGGCAGACATTCCCAGTTTTTTTTCTTTCTTACCAATGCTGAGGCCAGGTGTGTTTCGATCCACTATGAAAGTAGTAATGCCTCGATAACCCTAGTTGACAAAAATATTTTCTTAAAATAGAGTCAGTGCATTGTACTTCAAGAAGGTTTCTCTGGTAATTTATTCAGTCCAGAAAGTAATATTGTGTTTGGGAAGATGATGGTGTGCGTGTGTGAAGACTCTTTTTGATATACTGCTTCACCACCAACTGCGCAGAAACTTACTTGAGATCTTAGCTGTTTCAAGAATACAATACTTAGGGACTTGGAGTAACCTCACAACACTGAATTTTTTTTTTTTTTTTTTTTTTTTTTTTTTTTTTTTTTTTTTTTTTTTGGGCAAAGAAATAATTAGGCAAGCATCTCACGACTATTGCTACACAGAATCAGACTGTTAGATTCTGTCAGACAATTCAGTTTTGCTATTATGTGTTGTATTTCAAATCTTAAAAGCAGATAAATGAATTCAGGTTGTGTATTAGTATTTGAAGCTCCTTTATTGAAGCATACATAGGCCCTTCAATTTGAGTATCCTCTGGACCTATCAATTAAACGACTACTTTTAAGGCAGATTGGTGACTGCCTTTAACTAGGGAGAGGGGGGGGGGCAAACATTGGTATTACTTTTTCAACTTACAGCAGATGGATTAGCGTTTGCCATCACAAGAAATACATCAGCTAAGTCTGAATTTGATATCCACATTTTGGCTCCATTTATGATGTAATCGTCACCATCCTGAGTGGCTGTTGTTTTTAATGAGAAAGCATCTGACCCCGAACTTGCCTCAGACAAGCAAAAACTTCCTATTCAAAAGAAAGTTGACATCAGAATCTAAATTTAGACGTTCTTGGGTATACAAATGAATTATGCACCATCCTTACTGACACACTTACACTCGCGTCCTCTGTTTCAATTAATTTATGACACACGGTGGAGAGAGTCCATGGAAGAGGCTTGACATGATTTTGAAACTTCAAAAGCTTATATTTATGCTAATATAAAACGTTGAAGTTTAAAACGGTATTCTCCTAAAATTTAGCTGAAGAAACACCCTTTAAAATCTATAATTTGATCTATAATTATCATACAGCAGACAATCATCAGGGGGATTGTAAAAACTGAAAAGCACTTGCCTGTTAGCTTTTTTTGAACTTGTCATCATCGCAAATCGCACCAGAATCAAAAGTGATCATTTCTAAGCCTCCCCTTGTAACTCAAAGCCAAATTATTATCACTATTATGAAAGTTTGATCCCTCCAAAATTCAACAACGCTGTTCCTTAAGTTATTCAATTTTAATATTTTATTATAGGTGCCTTTTTAAACTCTTTGAGTAAGGGTCAGTTTTCTTACAGTCGTTTATTATTATTCCACAGAAATGAAGTTACCTACTGTGTTTTGTGCTAATTTAGGGAGATACGTTTGTTTCTGTTGAGGAGTTCCCAGTTTTCGAAACAACGAGTTAATCAGTGTATTTTGAATGTCTACTAAAACGGTGACCGCAGGATCAACTTTCGCAAGTTCTTCAACGACTATGATAGATGACATGAAACTACACCCACTTCCTCCATACTCTTCTTCAATCTCAACGCCCATCAACTGAAACAGAAAACAAACAAAAGGCCCAAATCATTAACTGCAAAAACTCAGTTCATAAAAACTGAAAAATCCCTTTCAGTGCGGCGGCGCGCATATGGGTCGAAGAGGGGAGGGGCGCCCGCCCCGCTTTAAAGGTTTTGGGGGATATTTTCGAAAAATCATAGACGCCCTGGTAAAAATTGGCAGTAGAATGTGTGTTCCAAAATACTATAGACCTAAAGCCGGCTGTAAGATTTCTAATAGCTTCTGTAGCCGGCTGTACAATTCCTTATAGCCTTTTATAGCCGATGGCGACTAAGCAACAGCCAGACGATAAAGTTTATGCTAAACGTTACTAATTACGGATGCTAGGACTTAGTTAGTTTTTGGACTACCGCTCTCTTTTTGTGCCGTAGTATCTTGATTTATTTTGCGAGGTAAGCTCCGTACTTCTGAAGGATGACTGTCATTCTTAATATGTTGGAGCGCCTTCAATTTCTTATGATACTGTGCAATACCTCTGATGTGAAATAGTTGCTTCAGACGCCGTGGCACGCTGCGGCGCGGCGGGCGGGCGGGCAGAGAGCTCGAAACGCGCATTGGCGCCTACAAACCTAACAGGGATACTTCACGCATTGCGCAATGCGTGAAGTATCCCTGTTAGGTTTGTAGGCGCCAGTGCGTCGCCGCTCCGCTTTGTGTTAGGCTCTAATATTTAATCTCGCGGAGTTAAAGTTAGGGAAAAGACAGGAAGATGTTTGAGCGGAAAAATTTCCGCTCAAACATCTAGATAAGGTGGGTCAAAGGAGGAAAGTTTAAAAATTCTAGGGAACTTGTCATTCTGGAAAAGGGATCAACCCATGTAATGCAAAATCGTAAGTATGTATACTCAATAAAAATTATTAGACACTTCTTAATGAACTGAACATTTGCAAGTTTTACAAGGATAAAAAGGGAAACATACCCCATTTGCGAACAAACTGGAGAGGACGCCGTCATCTATTTTCTCCTCGTCCTCCATTTTCCGGACCTTAGGCAATATTTCCGTCACGGCCAATTTTGAAACTGAAAGTAGATATGCATTTTATTAGGTAGAAAGACAATACTAGATTCTTCCTTCATTAAATTTTCGCCCCCAAGAATCCAGGGCCGGATTAGCGCTCAGGAGCTCGGGATGCTGACGGGTTCAATCTGCCCACACATTCGCGGGTCGCCTACTCTCTACATTGAAGGCGGTTCACGTCCCCAGAAACCAAAGGGTTCGTTTACGGCTATGACCTCCCCTCCCACCGCCATTTCAGTAAAGGGCAGCAAAAACAGTAAAATAGCACTCGAATAAGCGATATGATGTCAGACATGATGTCTCATAATGTCATGAAAATTGACTAATTATAAAAAGAGGTGGGAGCCTCTCGAATTATTCCGAATGAACCGCAACCCGATCGATGATTTTCTGTACTCTGGGTAGGAAGTCCCTTTTGAACGGCAGAAGAAGTAGGAACTCAAGAAGATCTTCTGTCTAATGATTATTTAAAAAAAACTCGTTAGCAGTTGACGAATCGGTTGACATCCTGGTATTGGACCTTCGGGGGCCGCATGGCTCTGGAAATCCCGTCATAGAGCTTCAGTTCCAAATATTTTATTTGAACTTTAGGAGCCCTCAAGAAACTTGTTCTCAGGAACCACCAAAGCAGTGGTATCCACGTCTTCAATACTACACTACGTACTAAATTCAAAGCGCCGAAGATTCCATCGGAATTGTCTAAGGATAGGACCCGCAAAGCGCTGATTGTATGAGTTCACCGAAATTTCAGCATCAGGCTCTCGGATGCTCAACAGTTATTAGAGGTCCCAAATACTAAAATTTAAGGACCCCGTGACACTCGAATTTTTATTGGCCGCAGGACTGGACTTTTTTTTAACTCTCCCGCGCAAAAACGAGTACCTATGTTGGGATGCGCTCTCGAAAAATTTCACCTGCAGTATCCATGAAATTATCCCGTCGCATTTGTTGTTCCTTGGCGAGTAATGTAGGAAACGCTGGAACTAGGTTAAGGTGCACGAAAAACAAAGAAAATGCCCTTAGTTAGTATCGCATGCGACGAACACAATACGGATTTCACTACAACGCCTTGATGCAACTATTCGGGCTTTACGGATGTCCGTGTTGCATATGCACGAAAAAGAAGGAGTTTTTAATTCACCAGGCACTCACCGGTGTGGCGCGGTGGCGGGTGGTCTTATTGTAAGGGTGCAAAAAGACAGAGCGCCTTCAATTTTTCGTTTTTACTACACATACACCTCTTAGACACGAATAGTTGCTCATAGCTGTAGAATGTGAGCATCATACTACTAATATTTCTTGGCATCGAAAATACGTCGGAAAAAACGAAGTTTCCATTCGTCCCTTACCAGATTCTTTCATCAGAAGTTCATCCTCGGACAACTGTGTGAGTGGTTTCGAGGCGGTCGCGTAACTTGCGCATTGTTTGCCTGTTTTAAGAATCAGTGAGCTATCCTTCAATTTTATCTAAAAAACGGAGAAAAAAACAAAAATCAATAGAATGGAGCATTGAAAAAATTGCTAAGTAAGTGCGTGACAAATAAATCATCTTTAAAATTGTTATTCGATCAATTTTTCAAGGAGATTAGCTCGAAATGTCTTCTGAATCAATTTAATTTGTCACGTTTTTTTCCGGAGAAGCCACCCAGACCCCCCTTCGAAGCCAAAGAAATCCCTCAATTTCTCCTCCGGAGCTGGCGAAGTCCCACGGAGCTCCTTTGATGGAGTGTTTTTAGGACCCCCTAGACCCCCCTTAATGAGGTTCTTCTTCTCCCCCAAAAAAGTCCCTAGTTCCGCCCATGCTGACCCTGGTAAAAATTGGCGGTAGAATGTGTGTTTCAAAATACTATATAGACCTAAAGCCGGCTGTAAGATTTCCAATAGCTTCTGCAGCCGGCTGTACAATTTCTCATAGCCTTTTATAGCCGATGGCGATTAAGCAACAGCCAGACGATAAAGTTTATGCTAAACGTTACTAAACACGGATACTAGGACTTAAATATTTTTTGGACTACCGCGACCGCTCGCTTTTTGTGCCGTAGTATCTTGATTTATTTTGCGAGGAAAGCTCCGTACTTTTGAAGGATGCCTGTCATTCTTAATTTGTTGGAGCGTCTTCAATTTCTTATGATACTGTGCAATACCTCTGGTGTGAAATAGTTGCTTCAGACGCCGTGGCACGCTGCGGCGAAGCGGGCGGGCAGAGAGCGCGAAACGCGCATTGGCGCCTACAAACCTAACAGGGATACTTCACGCATTGCGCAATGCGTGAAGTATCTTTGTTAGGTTTGTAGGCGCCAGTGCGTCGCCGCTCCGCTTTGTGTTAGGCTCTAACATTTAATCTCGCGGAGTCAGCGTTTTTCAGCTCATGATTTTGAAATGTTTGCACACTCTGTATGGACTATTCTCATTTTAATTGATGAAAAAAAAAAATATGCTTTAAAGGAAAATACAATGTGTGTTTTGTAAATATAAAGGTAGTTCTGTATCAAACTTCATGATTTCCAAAGCACACGAATTTCTGAACAATTAGCCTTTTATAGCCAATGGCGATAAAGTGTAAAGCCTGGCGATAGGAACTATAGCTCGACTGTATACTTTTTTATCGCTTCGTATAGCCCGGCTATATGATTTGCTCCGCTTTCTACAGCCAGCTATATGATTTTCAATAGCCTTCTTTAGTCGGCTATAAGAACTCCTATGGTATTTTGAAACGCAGCTCCTATCGCCAATTTTTACCAGGGGGATGTCGAGGTGCGAGAACTTCCCTAGGCGAGTTTTAGCAAATTAGATCATGCAGGCCAAATCAATCATGCTCAACACTTTGGTCATCGATCGTCATTTGGCGAGTCTGATTGTGAGCGTTGACCTCCGAGAGTAACATACAACATCCCTGGGCGGATCCAGTAAATTTGGCAACACCGGATCTCCTCATTAAAACCTATGGAAATGTATCGATTCTTGGAGGGGCCAGGTGCTCCGCGAAGAATCGATTGTTTAGCATGAGTTCAAATGGAGGAAATCCAGTGCTGCCGAATTGCTGGATCCGCCTCCATGGGAAAATAGCGCGCAGTACGGGGCCTCTGAAATTCATAATTCTGTCTGTGTACGGCGTTGTATAGCAACCTCCATTCAAAAAAAAAAAAAGTGAGCGGAAATCACTTACCAGACCATTGAAAACTCTTGAGAAGCTACCCATTGCGCCATTAATGAATAAGCCAGAGATATCGAGTTGAATAATTCATTCGTTTCAAGCTGCAGATAATCGTGTGATGTATGACACTATGCAAATTGATTCGTACAGTCGGGTAATGATCAGTGGGGTGACGGAGCAATTTTCCTCGCACATCATTCGGTAATGAATCAAGAAACGAGACTGAAATGCTTCCTCTGACCACAACTCGTGTGCTGTTATCGTCACTGATTACCGCGGTTGCTCGGGAAGGGTAAACAACTTTCAGACGTCACTGAAAAAAAAGAAAGTGGGCATCGGCTTATCACAAGATTCATATCAATACCGCGCAAGCTATGTCCAAAGCTATATGTTTCTCTCGTGACGCTCAAAAGGAGGGATATTATATAATAAAAAGAAGAGGGAAACACATATGGATTGCATTTTGCAAAAAGGAACCACTAGCATTGCAATGTTGTTAAGATTGTGCATCTTCTTTTGTCTTGGAGGAAAAACCCGATTATCCATTAAAAGTTTCTATTTTACTCGCTAAAAACTGTAAATTTAAGACAAAAATTACCATCTAAATTTCATAGTTTTTCACGATTTCCGCAATTTTATTGCAAAAGATGAAGTTGCACAATCTTAGCATCATTGCAATGCTAGTGGTTCCTTTTTGCAAAATGCAATCCATATAGGTATTAGGAAGAGACATTTTAAAAGAGGGATTAACCCGCAAAGTTTCTCCATTCATAGATTCAGCTAATTGGCAACGTCACGAAAATGGCGCACAGCCCAAGTAGCATTTTTCAACGGAAAAATCGCGATACATTGCGATTTTATCGGCGATATAATCGCTAGGATCATCAGTATCTGAGCGACTATCCTCGATCTTGTTGCAATACAATCGCGATTCTATCGCCCGGAAATTTATCGCGATATTATCGAAACAAAAATCGCGATCTATGGCGATTTAATCTAGATTTTATCGACGGAAATTGATCGCGATTTTATCGAACAAAAAATTGCGGTGCATAGCGATTTAATCGCCATAAATCGCATTTTATTCGATAATATCGCGATAAATCGCCACCGATATAATCGCGATAATCAACCGATAGAATCGCTATTTTTCTCGATCACTGCTACTTGGGAATTGAAATGGTCAAGCTAAAGCGCATAAATGAATGTACTCCCTCCCTCCCCTCCCTACAGGAAAACAATCGAAAATTTTTTTGCAATGCCAGACCGTCGTTTGAATGTAAATAGATGCTACCGGAAATGGGTGCAGTGTCTGTCGGAATTAGGAACATTGTAGGTCAAGCTCGCCGGAAATAGGTGCATTCTGACGTCATCTATATTTTCAGAGCATCTCTCCTAAATTTTCCTCAAGAGGCTCTCATTTACACAAGTATCAAAAGCTGAGTGGAATTAGTGCTGTGAATTTTCAATCATTGATTGCCACTTGAAGTGATTCTACATATCTAGAAGGAGTAAGCAAACACCGATATGGGACAAATTTTGCTAAATTACTGGTTTCACTTTGAATTTTTCGGGAAAAAAACGGATCGCTTACGCCTGGAGTCTCTGTCCAAATATTTTACCCCAAAAATGTATTTTTTAAATCCTAAAATACAGCTGAAAGTATGCAAACGAGAAAATGAATCGTTTTCGACTGCAGTATTTTGTGTTTGTTTACTTTCAGCCTTAATAGGGTTCACAAAAAAGATTTTCGGGAGGAAATGGCCGAAATCCACATGCTAGGCGTAACCGGTCCGTTTTCCACCTATAGACTAAAGTGAAACCAGTAAGCAAGCTAAAGTTCGATACCTCACTGTTTATTGTCTACTTCCACAGTATTTACCTTATGGGGCGGTGGCTATAGGATGGGTACACTTAACTGTCATGGTTTTTCAAAGGTGCCCTGCAAAGCCCTGAAAATTAATTGCACGTGCAGCAATGAAGAAAAAGCGACCTTGGAAAATCCGAAAAAATGTACCACTTAAAAAAACAATAGTCTCTTTACATGAAGACGAAAGTTTAGAAACTAGTAGGACGGCAATCGCGCATAGAACATGGAATAATATTCAGAGAGGACTTACACCACACGTAAACACAAGTTTCATCCAGCTTCAACCATTAAGTACTTCGCACGCGCGCTATAGCGTCGATTTGTTCACTGGGCTCCACTCTTCTCCCTTGACTTATTTTCGCTCGCCAAAAAAGTGGCACAAAAACGTTGTCATAACGTTACCGCCAAAATTGTCATTTTGCGACGTTCAAGCGTCAGTATTAGCAGTTGCCGGGCAGGATACTCACACTACTCCTAAATTTTTATCTCGGAGATGGGTAGCGATATTCACGCAAAATTAAGAATAAAAACAAAATATGCAGCGAAAAAAACTGAAAACCTTCAGCCAGTGCCGGATTTACGAATTCTTTTACCGGGTGTGAAATTGATCTAGGCGTCCCGTGAGGGGAGGTTTGAGAGACTAAAGAGGGGCCCAGGAAAAATATCTAGTGTCTCATACGGCATTTTCAATGTAGTCAGTACAACTTTTTGTCCTCATGGTTACTAAAAATGAAATGGAGAATTGAAAAAAGACTTCACAAGTTCTCTCATTTTCATCCTAACACGCTATTATTATTTAAAAAAAAAAAAAAAAAAAAAAAAAAAAAAAAAAAAAAAAATTGCCTAGCTTAAGCATGCTGATTCTTGAGTTAGTCGCCAAAGCAAAAAAAGTAGCTTAAATTAAGCAGCGAAATTCTTGATTCAAGAAAAAGTATTCCTGGACAACAAATTTAGGGTTTTTTTTCCCAGTGATTTTACCTCACTACCTAACAATAGGTAAGTGCACATGCGTAACTATATAGCTCGAAAATCCTATCGCAATATTGCACCCGCTTCAGATAGTAACAAAAACGTTAACTTACATTCTGCCGATCTTGACGAGGTGAAGTTCACGATTCCTGATGCACTCAGCGGCTTGCATTTGCTGCAATGCATTGCGTTTGATTCAAATGCAACAAGGCTGCAACGTTGCCGCTGTATGCAAGTGTACGACGGCAGTGTAAAAGTCGAGAGATTTTGCGTCGAAACCGCAGAACCCAACGCTGTAAGACGCCAGCCGTTACGACCATTGGCGGCCAGGTTTAAAACGTACTGTAATGTGGGTTAAGGTCTCCAACCTGTTACATTGCATCAATTCACGTAGAAATAGTGAGCTCAGATCTCAGAGTAAGTCACTAAACTTGGGGATCACAACTGATATAACGATATGGGGAAAATGCATAAACTGAGAACCAAAGACTAATTGCTTTTTATAACTAATTGTAAGCATTGTACAGCAACCCATGAGTGCTTCGTAGGTTTTTAATCACGCAGACCTCTAGCAGCACTTCAGGGTGGGAGGGGCAGCTGTTAAAGTTTAAAGTTCTACGGATATATTTTAGGGAAATATTGTCTATCCGTCAGGGCCGGATTTACCTTCTTGCCGCCCATGGACCTTCTGTATTTTGCCGTCCCCTCCTCATTCGTTTTGGAACATCGATACAAACCATAAAGTGAACGTGCCGGGGGAGGAGGGGTGCATAAGACGTCTTTACTCGTGTTGGGCACATTTTCTGTGAATGCCCTGTCAACACTAGCAAAAGTTCACGGAACTTTGCGCGAAAGTTAAGTTCCATAAACCTATCTCTGTGTGGACAAGGCCTTTCATGTACAAGAAATAAACGAAAAAATTATGAAAGAATAAACGTGAATGTGGTTTAATAATTTTAATTTCCGCCACCGCGCCAACCGCGTTGTGTTTGGCGCAATGCGTGAAGTATCCCTTCAGTCTTGTAGGCACCATGAGTTTCATGCCAACCGCTGCTGACCGCACCACGTTTGACGCAACGCGTGAAGTGTTCGTGGAGTCTTGTAGGCGCTGATATGTGTTACATGCCGACCGGCGCGCCGAGTGCTTCTCCTTTTCATCTCAAGTCCTCGTCATCATTGCTGCGTGTTTGGTTTCTCTCTCAACTAGAGTAATGGAAAGCTCTGTCTCTTGTATCACTGAAAAACGAACAAATCAGAAATTACTGTACTTTAACTCTCAGGAAATGAGAGATTTCGTCCCCTCTCTCGTTTGTAATTTTGTTTGGGAATCCGATTTTTTTTTTGATACCTACATTTGAAAAAATTTCAACATTTTGCTGGACCGCGGCCCATGTGGCCACCCCCTAAATCCGGCCCTGCCATCCGTGCCATCCGTTCACTAATGAGGCAGTAGGTACATTCAGCAGAAAAATGTAGAGCTGTCATGCTTATTTGACAGTGATATCCATTGATCTAGCTAAAAACACTCAAAATTATAGGTAAGAGCAAGGCACGAGATATATTCATGTTTTCTGAACAGGTACACGATCATTCCACTCCCGTGCGCGTATCGATGCGATGACCAAAGAACAAAACCACGTATTTCCATTTGCGTCTTTGCAGACATCCTGTCATATTTTATTCGGCTTTTCTGAAAATTATAGTCAGCGCAATTTTTTGAAAACTCCCTCAATTTTTCTTCTTTGTAAGCAGGATATTCTGCAAAACTTTCAAGCTATAAATTTGGCTTGTCTCTTGGAAAAAATCAAACGGGAGCGGAAATTTTGAAAAAACGCGGTGGAGATACGTGATTTAGCTCTTTGGCCGTTTTGCTTGGTGCTTGCACATAGTAAATAAACTTCGGTTGGGCAATATTCTTGAATAGGCTCCCATATATTATGATCAGTTCCATCAATGCGTGAAGCGAGTGCTTTCCTGTAAGTTTTTGCCTTTCCAGCGTAATTAAGGGCAAAATTCAGTTGACGATATTCGCAAGAATATACTCTGAAGGCAGGTCGAAATAAAACTTTTTTTTGGGTATTTTTATACCGCAATGGTCAAATTGGATTGAATGCACGACGCGACGTGTATTGAGTTTCAATTCTCCATACGTTACCCTTAATATTAAAGCTCCGAGCATACTGAGGGATGAACATCAGGGCCGGATTTAGGGGATGGCCAGACATGGGCCGCGGCCCATGGCAGCAAATTTTGCAATTTTTTTAAATGTAGATCTAAAGAAAAATCGGATTCAGAAAAAAAATTACAAACGAGAAAAGGTGACCAAATCTCTCATTTCTTGAGAGTATATCTCTAATTTTGTCGTTTTTCTGTGGTACAAGTGACAGCACCTTTAATTAGTCGAGTTAACACAAAGAGAGATAAACCGAACACGGAATTTGGCCTGGAACGGCGCGGCGCAGAGAGCAATGATGACGAGAACTTGAGATGAAACGGTGAAACCCTCGGCGCGGCGCGGCTGTCGGCATGTAACAAATATTAGCGCCTACAAGACTGCATGAATACTTCACGCATTGCGCCAAAGGCAGTGCGGTCTCTGCGGTCAGGAGCGGTTGGCGCGAAACGCATAGCGCCTACAAGACTGCATGGATACTTCACGCATTGATTCGAACACAGTGCGTTCAGCAGCGGTCGGCATGAGACGCATAGCGCCTACAAGACAGCATGAATACTTCACGCATTGCGCCAAACACAGTGCGGTCAGCGCGGCGCGGCGGCGGCGGCGGCGGCGGAAGTTAAAATTATTAAACCACATTAATGTTTGTTTTTTCATAATATTTTCGTTCATTTTACATAAATGGAAGGCCTTGTCCACACAGAGGTAGGTTTACGGAACTTGACTTTCGCGCCAAGTTCCGTGAACTTTTGCTAGGAATGTTCATAGGGCTTTCGCAAAAAAAGGTGTCCAACACAAGTAAACGCGTCTTATGTACCCGCGCGTCTTATGTAAAACAGCGTATGGACCGAGGGAAGTTGTTGGGCCATCCTCCCCGTGGACGCTAACTGCTCCGTGCTTCTAGGGGCTCTCAATCTGATTCAATAGCAATGGTGACATTGACTTCAGGAATTCGCACCATCACCGCGGCAAATATATGAGCCTTGAATTCTTTTATTTACGTTTTTTTTGAAGTAGACCATCGGGATAGGTTTATATGGCTGTATTAAGAATAAGATCCGAAGAATTTCGCCGCTCGTTACTGATTGTGAGTGAAAGAATCAAGATAATTTTTAGAATTTAAAGGAAGACACTTTATGAATACCCTGAATTTTTTTTTAAGTCATTAGATCTGTTTGTGTGTGAATAAAAAAAATGTTTGGAGAATGGATGTAACCATAACTCTATGAAAAAAAAAATGAATAGACGGTCGATACCTGCTGTCCTTTAATTTTTGAATTTTCCCGCCAATGACGCTCATGAGTGGTTCGATGTATCGTTTGGTTCAAAACAATAGAACATAACCTCAAACCACATCTTTTTAACCAATCGATATCGATACAATCTCAACCGTTTGATATATCGAATACGATCTATTCCAATATTATCAATCAAAATAAATCGATATAATATTGTAGTTCTTTCAGTTTCGACTTTTGAATCATAAATTTCCCGCCACACCGGCCACAGTTTGTTTTTGTAACGTTCAGGATTGGTTCAGGTGTGTTTTGTCGATTATCAGCTTATCAACAGTAATTTTTCCCATTTTTTTAAATTTCTATCTTTCTCTGATGCTGAAATTTGTTGCGTTGTATCCACGTATTTTTCTGGTTTCTGTTTTTTGAAAATGAATTGCACGGCATTAAGCGTAGCAAACAGTAATGTTAGTTATAGGAGAACTGAGTCTGGCGAGTTAATTGACGTTGGTGAGCAAATCAAAGTTGCGGAGTTTTTAAAATATCTTCTACGCACAAGACTTTGGCTTCTCAGAGCTCAAAATGAAGAACAGTGTAAGTTTGGTTTCATTTCATTTTTACTTAAGTTTACAGTATTATTATTGGCAATCAAAAGATACGCTTGTGGCAAGACGAAAAATTTCTTGTAACCTTGGTTTCAAGCACAATTGCTTTTATAGATGCACCGAATTCCTCCTTATAAGTAGCCTACCTCATCTCAGCTTGGCCTCATCCTGCGTTATTTATGAGGTCATATAAACCCAGGTTGAGATGTTTTTCTTAACTTCATTTAGAAAGGTAATGGCAGCTTAAGGTGATTTGTCAAGCTCAAGTGACATGGTCGAACTGGCATGCGATATATCGCATTGATTAGGTAAAAAATAATGGTAGATTTTGAAGTTTTAGCAAAGAAAAAGAGCACTAGCCCCTGCACATGAGCCTAAGGAATTAGTCTAAACCCTAAAATCGGAAAAATTTAGAGAAATGAAAGCAGAATAGTGTTAGGGAAAAAAACCTCGCATTCGATGCAGCTATCGATTTCTGTATCGAGTGTGAGGTTTTTTTCCCAACACTTTTCTGCTTTCATTTCTCGAAATTTTGTCAATTTTTGGGTTAGATTGACTGATTCTTTAGGCTCACGCGCAGGGGCTATCGTCCTTTTTTTTGGTAAAAATTCAAAATCCGCTGAGATTTTTGACCTAATCAATGCGATGTATCGCATGTCAGTTCAACCGTGTCACTTGAGCCTGACGAATCACCTCAAAGACCCACAAAATTATCCAGATTGGCCACACCACATAAGAGTATGAGAAGTTGTCCATGCCATTCATAAGAAAATCTATGGGCATTTTACATTAGGTATCATGCCATAAAGAGTGTTTGTTATCATAGGTTTATCACAGGATTTGGGCATTCAAGAAAATACAGGACTTGTACCTATACAAAATGCCAATCCTGCAGATGACCAGTGAATTTCCATTTCACGCCAAATAAATTGACGCACTTCTAGATTGCAACAGAAAATCGTTTGACATCACTTTTACTCGTAAAGTAAATGGAAGAATCAATAGGGCAGATCTTTTGCTGCAGTCTAAAAGTGCATAAAATTATTTGGCGAGGACCCTAAGAATACAACTGCATTAGGAGCATGAAAAGATAGAAAGCATGTTGGCCATAACTCATAGGCTAGAATGTTGCCAAACGTACACTGAAGTAGGACCGCGTCATGTAAGACATTAATTTGGGAGTTCCTGCTCAGATTTTTTTGTAATTTTCTGTTTGAATGTAAGTGAGTGATATTCTGAATGACAGGATCTTTTGCTGCAGTCTAAAAGTGCATAAAATTATTTAGCGGGGGGGGGGGGGGGAGTTTTGTAAAGATTTTAATAAAATAGGGATCGAAATGGCACTGTTGAGTTCTCAGTCAGCCTGAATTTTGACCGTAGCGTAAAATCTTTAGGCTTTGGGTTTTTACGCAAATAAAGTGCAATATTTTTCTATGAATAAGGTCCAAGTTACCAACTTACATACCAATAATTCTGATGCTCTTTGTTGACGTTCACTTCATTGGTTGGGAAAAACTGTATTCATTTTAAGCCATCGCCATGTGACAGCGGCAAAGCTCATGCCAAAGTTTTGATTGGACTTGTTTACACTGTCCTCATTGGATTTTTGTTAGGCTCTTAAGGACCAGTGTAACCAAATCTAATCAAAGGAAAGAATTCATGAGGAATAATTGAATGATTCTAATGGTATGTGTAAAATCCTCTGTTTAAGTTACTGCTATCATGCTTGAAACTTATTTCAGAAGTTCTAAATTGAAATTTTCTTACGGAGTCAAGGTTCACACGGAAGTGCCAACTTTATGGAAATGGCCCTAATTAACATTAATTTCAGCCATTTATCTAACGATAGCCAACAAAAGGGTAGTTTCATCTCTATATTCCAATTTGTATTTCACCAAATGGATATTTTGGAAAGCTTTTGCTGGAGTGTAGGAACTTTTCCATCAAGCTGCTGGAGAATCGTAATTTGTTGCATACGAGAATGGAAAGGTCCCATAAACTGGTTTTCAAAATAGGAAGGCTGAGATGAGAGAGACAGTGGCTTTCAGGAAATTTTGTAAAAACATGGTGATTTGTGAAAGAGAAGAATGAAAAGAAAGGTAATCACTTTGATCATTTTGGGGGGAAAAGGGGTTTCAAAATGAGAATTCCAAAAACTTTCTGCATCTCTGCGCCCCCAAAAAACATACACGGTTTTAGTGCAACTAAACTAATCTTTCCAAACATACAATATAATATTAATTTATTCAAGAAGAATGTTTGTGAGTCAACAATTGAGATGATCCTTGGAAATTCTTATTCTCTCATGTGCGTAGTTTCCACCGTTGCAGAATAAACCATCTATTCGTCTACGTCATGTGATAACAGAACACCGACCGCCATTTTCTATCATGTTTCAGGCAGCCTCATGCAATCATTCTCTTCAGAGAATCGAAGTATGCTGACAGAATTGGAATATGTGAAAGCTGTTCAAGATTTTCAACTTCATGGACTCATGAAAAAACTTGTTCGCTCACAGATTTCTACAATCACAGTCACAGCTGATCTAATATGGAACCTTGCAGTGAGGAGTTCTCCAAGATTTGATCTGGGAGAGTACACATCTGTGTAAGTTTTTCATTCATTCTAGTTCTGTGACTTGGGTGAAAACCCATTTGAAAGAAGCAAAGAAGCAGCAAGCTGTGGAAAAATCTGATCTGGTGTAATGGGAACTAACAGTTTACATTTTTATCTTATATATTGAAGATGAGGTTCTAGGGTTCCTCCTATGCTAAACATTTGAATCGTGACCCTTATCATATTTTTATATAATATTCAAAGAACCCTTTGGGAGTTAAATGTATTTATTTATTCATTATTAATTAGTATTAAAACCGAATAATACAATTGGTGCGACCATCCAAAAAAAAAGAGGCCATATTGCATGGAAGCAAATTTTCGAAGAAGATGTTCGAAGTTAGAGTATTGGAGAAAAAATCCATCCATTGTCCCTCAATGTAAGCTATGGAGGGTTTAGTTTTTGTGCCAATAAAGAAAGTAATGTTGTATTCTACGTCCACTAGTTGAAACTATGAATATGGCAGACTAAAACTTTGAAGTTTTTTTCAAAAGTACATTTCTTGCATTAACAACTTCAGACTTTTATAATTTCGGTTTGGCTTGACATTTTTTAGCCTTATATGATGCTAAATTTTCATACACCATCCCTCTGAAGAGTCTTATTTTTAGCCTAATTCTGCGATAGCCAAAACAGAGTCTTTATTCCTGTGAATAGTCACAGATAGGAACAAATACAGAATTTCAAGATTAGTTTTCTGAGATCTCTACATTTAAGTAAAGCTTGAGTATGTTACATGATTACATGTGTTGTTAGTAAAAAATGAAGCTGACAGATTGAAATATTCTCACTTGAGAAAAGGAGAGAAAGTACTTTCCAAATCCTCCTTTTCCCTAAATTTTTGGAAACAAACAATAAAAACTAAAAGAGTCGATGTATAATATTTTCATTCTTGCTCTTTCTTTTAAGAATTTCTTTTTTGTTTACTATTGCAGTGATCTTCGTGGAAATTTTGAGGCCTTGAGGAAGGGATCCTTTAAATTGCAGAATCACTATATCCTAACATCGCAACTTAAAAGAAAGAAAGATGAAAGGGGATGGGAAGTATGTGAAGTGGCATCTAATGCCAAGCGTGTTGCAATAGAAACAGAAGAAAGCAACAAATTGTATGAGGACAAAGCTAAGTAAGTATTATTGTTAGTTACTTTGTGGTCTATTTAAATGATGGCAAGTTCAGCCTAGAGTACGCAGTAAAATTTCTCCTTTAAACGTATCCCCAGCTCAGGGGCTAGTCAGACCTTCTGTTCTGCCCTCAAATCTTCTGTAAATACAATTAAAATTTGAATTGGCTCCTCAGAAGTAGCATTTGCATTCAAATGGAAGCTGGTCTAAGACTGGGAAAACTTTTTTCTCTCTTTTTGCATCCGCACCTAGTTTTTATATCCCTCATCAAACGGATTGCGAAGCTGCCATCTCATTGATTGAACTAATTTTCAAAGTGGGCCTAACTGGATACTGAATGCATGTTTTGGATGTGTGTACTCTAGTACGAAGTTTCCTCATCCATCACTAACTTTGGATCTTAAGATAAAATGTGCTTCAAGTAGCCACATAATAAGTGACTTTTTCAGCAGGATCAAATCAAATGGAAGTTTTGACTGCGGAATTCAGTACTTGTCAAACAGTTTAAATAATGAACTAACTCACTCCTCCCCTTTGTGCGCTTTTTTAATTTTAATGAGACCGCTCCTGCTTCTTTTTTTAGATTATTTAAGAAGTTGGAGAAAAAAATTCATCAGATGCAAAAGATGCAAACAATTTTGGTCCAACTCAGTTCTACTTTTCTAAGTTGTGGTGTAGAAAACTTTGACGAACAGCACAAAATGTTGACAGACATTGGAAAGCCCAGAACATGGAACTACTATAATAAAATGGTTAGCAATGTAACACACAGTAATGGTACAGTATGAGCCTACCTCATTTTATAAAGCTTTTAATAGGTCTAAGATACTGAAAACATACATCTTCACCTAAAAAATGGACTGCATCACATGTTAAATTACGTAACTGTTCTACAAACTAAAGGTTCAATTAAAGGAAAATGCAGGGAATTTGATATTCTCTAAAATTTTCGTTTTTTTGAAGACCTTGAGTCTTGTCTATTTGCATGTGAGCAATACAACCGCAACGATGACGCAGTGGTCTCTTGTGGTCAGTGTTAGCAATGCGATCCCTCATTTCAAATCTTTAGAAATATCAGGAAATGCGGTATGATCAGGAAAAATCAGCAAAACAGAGAAGTACATTGAGGGATTGAGAAACACCAGTCGCATCAATGCAGTTTATTTTAAGCAGGCGTGAACTCAGTGGCATTGGTTCTTGATAAAACTACAAGGTAGTTCATCATTCTTTTGTGCATTCAATAAAACCCTTAAAGACTGCAGGTTTACTGTAAAATTCGAAAGAACCGCGTGAAACTGCAAAAAGCAACTACATACGATGTGTACTTCAGGGCACGTGGAAAAAAACTTTTCTGTTTTTTTCAACCGTTACAGCTTAAAACCAGCACCAGATATCTCAAAAAATCTCAAGTGTATACAGTTTCAGCACTTACACCACCCGCAACATAAAGTCCGGGCCACTTCAAGGGATGAACAATGAACCGTACATTACTTGAAATGTTCAAACATTAAAATACAAGGAACTTAACTTTCTACGGTCGTTTGGTCCTAAATTCAACCATTTTGAAGTGCAAAGAAAAGAATAGGTTCAAATCAATGATTTTTGGCGCTCTAACAGCCCTATTTCACCTTGCTGAAGGAAAATGATGCGCACATTTAAAAAATTTAACATACTATCCCTCATGACATCGATAAGTTTCGATTTCATGAAAGAAATAATTGGTTTTTACATCTTCTAAAGTGAGTAGCCACAAATAACGAATTAAAATTGGGCAAAACTACCGGAATATTGCTGCTCCAAGGCTTGTTACCGCTCAGCACCACCCGAGGTGCAATGACATCACTCCCTTTAAGATACGTCAACCGATGAAGTTTTTTTTTTTGGGGGGGGGGGGGAATCGTAAATCGTCGATTTCATGAGGGATAGTGTCCAATTTTCGGAATGAGAACATATTCAAAATTCTTTCCACAGCGTGATGAAAAGGGCTGTTTTAATCACCATAAATCATTGAGTTGAAATTTCTTTGCACGTTAAAATGGTTGAATTTTTGCCCAAAGAACCATAACCCATTGAGTTCCTTGTGGATTGATGTTTACATTTTGCAAAAATGAATGTATTAATTTTTATCCTTCAAAGTGGCGGGGGCTTTGTCACGGGTGGCGTAGAGGGCTGAAACTTAATACACATGAGTTTCACCACATCTGAAACCTGTTTTTTGCTATTACATACCATCAAAATAAAACAAGAAGTCTTTTATTCACCCACCTTAGAATACCTACAAAATCCAAGAATAACCGTAAAAATTGCAATGAATCATGAGAGCATAAAGGACTTATGATTTTCTGTTAATTTTGCAATCTCTGCAAGAAGAATCAAAGTTATTGTATTTTTATTTTTACTGATTGAACCAAGTGTTCACATGTAGTCTTTTTTAAATAAATGTAATTTTTTGTAAATAATCTATTTTTATAGTTTTAAGTCACTCAATTTTATTTTTTGACAATATATTTGTGTGTAAAATTTCTCAAGCTCGATTCTATTCTTTCAATCTTCATTTAATATTTTTGTCGGCAAAATCAAATGAAGTAATTTTATTCAGGCTAAAAATTGGAAAATTGGTCCAAAACATTGTTGCTCGGATTCATAATTGTGCACAATTTTTAAGACAGTTGTTTCAATGTCAAAAAGGTCCTGTTCATAGTCATTTGGTAAAAATAGTATAATTCCTGTTGTCACTTTTTGATTTGCTATTTTTACTTTTATCACATTTTGGTCTTGCGTGAAGCTGTAGAAAATTTTTATGAAGTGCCCTTCATGGTATCGACGCAATCCCGCGTTTTGTGAACGTCACAGGGGCAACACTTTGTGTTATATGATATTATATGACAGTTTTGAAACATCAATGGTATTTTTTAATCAATTGGACTGAGTTAAACAGAAAGGAACCAACCCACATTTTGGAAAAAATTGAGTTATGAGTGGTTTTGAACCCAACCACTGCTCTACTATCTATCGCCAAAAATTCAAAGTTTTTGTTGGAGCAAATTTTGCAAAAATTGAACTTGAAGTTTATCTTTTACATTGAGTCTTATGCAGGAGCCAAACTTTAAACCTCTTTTTCTCGGTTCGATCCCGATGTGGCTTGGTTCCTTTCTGTTTAACTCCGTCCAATTATAATCCCTCATTTCTTGTTGAGACCAAGCGTTGGTTGGAATTATCACCTCCTATGACATTTTCAAAACCATCAATTTTCAAGTGAAAGCTCAAATGTTGTAAAAACTGTACGGTCGGTTGTTTAAAGAGTCTATCCAATTACAAAGAAAAAAGAAGGAATAAAAATCAAATTTTTTCCTGCCTTAACTTTGCAGTGTATTTAATAATCAAAACTTGCTTGTCATTTTCTCAAAACCATGTTTCCAGCTTCAGGTAATTATTCCAGCCAAAGCCTCAATTGAATCAGGGAGAACGAAAACTCACCAACTCGGTAACTTGAAAATGCTCAATTTTCATTTAAGACAATCAATTTTAATGAAGGTCATTGAAGTTAGGGCATCTGTTCAAACTCAGACCTTTTAAGTGTCCTTAAGTACTTGTCTTTCGACACCACACATATTTTTCTTAGACTAACTTCTACACTTACTGTACAGTTTTGTGTGGGTCTCGATTGTTTTAATTTTTCGAGTTGGTGTGTTTTCGTTCTCACTGATTCAATTATAGTCCGTTATAGTTAACATTTGTAGAAAAATATATGAAATCCAAAAAATCAATGGTCGCAAGCTTTTAAATCCAAAATAAGTGGATATCTCACAATAATTCCAGCTTCTTTTTAAATTTCAAAATGGTTCTGCTCTTGCCGCAAAAATCTCAACTAATTACAGATGCAGTTTCATTTCGGGTTATTAGCTCTTTATCTTTGTCTTAGGTCCCAAGTGCAATAAATTTAACCATACTGCGAACCTTCAATTTCACAGAATTTTAAGGGAAAAACAGCTTGTACAGTATAATTATTAAAATATAAAATTTGATCTTCGAGCATTTCATTCACCTCAAAGTAAAGCTTGTGACACGGAATATTTAAAAATAAGGTAATCCAGATTTAGTGAAATTATTTTATTTATTAGATTTTAAATACTTATACAAATGAAATCATAACAATATTAAAAATTATCAATCAATGGTTTTGCAAAACTTGAAACAAAGAGTGAGAGGCAACAACAGGAGGGGAGAAGAACTGAGTTGAAAAAATGGCAACTCCACTTATGACAACTTACTTGTACACGAAAGGTACAAGGACAAAAAATACGATCCTAACAAGCCACAGCTTCGCTGGAACAATGTGAAATGAAAAGTGAATGCATCTCTTTGATCTCGCCAAAATCTGCCGGTAAGGTATTTACAAAGAATGAGAGGGGGGAGGGGGGGATGCACCAGTCCACTGACACTATAATGAGAATACTCTGCATAATGCATAGTTGTGGCATCACCTTGGGTACGATCGTACGACCACCAATTTGTGTCTTGCATTTTCACTTCAGTGAAGGATACCAAAAGATCAAAGAGGTATATTCACTTAAATTTAACATTTCTTCAATGAAGCCATGAAGGATCAAGCATTTTAAAGACTCAAGCTCGCTATACAACTAATTTTCTGAGTCCAAACAATCTAAAAGAATGTTGGGCAAGAGGATTTCTCCAAGCGGAAATTCTTATTTTTACCTAGAACAAGTTGGCACATGTACAAACTGTACAAATAGTAATTGACAGTTGTTAAAATATATTAAAAGTGATAAAGACAAAAAAGTAATTCTGAGTCTAAAACATGATTCCTAGACTTACTTTGTTTGAGGTAACAATTGAGATAAATGTTACCGAAGCTTTGTTGCTTGTATTACTTTTGCATGATCAATGAGTGACCAATTCGAAAAAATGAGGTTAGAAACCCTGTAACAGTTTTCAGAGCATGTTCCTTATTGATGTATATCAAAATGTTAGGGCAGCATTGCCATGTTGTGCACAAGAAGGTTTCCAATTAAATAAGCTCCGATCACCCACAGTCAGTAACACTTGATCAATGAAGAAATTTTTTACACTATGGTGAAAGCAGTTACAATTGTTACACCAAACAAAATAAAACTATGGAATTTTTACATTATATTAGTTTTGTCACTTTTCTTTTTTTTTTCTTTTTTAGAGATGTCAGTAGAGCAGTAATTATCTGCTCGGAGCTTAAAACTAAGTTTCTCTAAAGATTAGTTTTCTTTTGTTTAGTACAATGTGTTAAAAAGTAAAAAAATTCTTAGAGATGAGTGACTTTGTGTTGAATTAAAGAAATATTAAGACTGAATCTTTTCGTCATTATGAATACGATGATTCCTTCAAAGGAGGAGTTGAATGAAAAAGGTGTATACATAGGAAAATTACAACTTTGCTCCTGTAGTACAAGTTTTTCATTCACTCATTAGTAGGGAAAGTAGATGTGCATTATCCCAAGAATTTAACGAAAAAGACTTGAAAATATTGTACAGTTAATTGCCTGATAAAAAATTAAGAAAATAAAAAGCGCAAAAAAGGGCTTTGACAACGTATGTTTCAAGCACCTCGAGAAAACACAGGAAAAATTTGATGAACTTTTTTTAAAAATTGCATCTTTTACAAGGAAATAGAAGAAATAAGAGAACAGATACATGAGTATAAAGGATGGAATCGCAAGCTGGAGACGGAAAATTATAAATATTAACATAAATTAAAAATTGCACAAAAAAAGGCAGTTTTTCATGATGAAGTAATACAAAGTAAGTAGATGATTATGAATGACGATAGCAAGTACACAGAAAACATTGAGAGGGGAAAGAATCCTCTTTGAAGAATCCTCCATGAAGGAGGTCTTTGAATGAATATTAGTGATTAGGGTCTTCATGTTTGCTGTTCAACTTGGTAGGGTCGAAATTCTACAAAAATGAGAGGAAGATTCTTTTGATTCATAGGTGAATATACTTTGATTGTTTGGAAACTTTACTAAATGGCACGGTGGCATTCAAAACAGAACTATAAAAATCCTGATTCTTTTTTTTCGTTTTTAGCAAAAGTTACACTTCATCATTCCTCTTCAAAAAGTAGGCACGCGAAATGATCATGCCTTTTTTCAATGAACAAAGATACAATAATTTACTCATAAAAAGTACAAACTATGTTACACATGTATTTACACAGAAATTGACATAATATCTACCTTCTTTGCAACAAAATCTACTTAGATTGGAAAAGAAAATAAACAGAATTCATTCTTATAAAAATATACTTACAGAGCAGATAAAGGGCACAGATTTAATAAAAAAACAGTTTGAGTGCAGAAAATTTAAGAGTTTCTGAGCAAACACTGCATTAAGGCGATAACAACTGATTTGACCTTATACAATTTACATTTACAACAAAATCTTAATAAAAAAGGATCGAAAACTATTTTCCAGGGCAGAATATTTACACAAATATGTAGGTAAAAGAAGTAGGGATGAAGACAATTTTCACCCTTTTGAAAAAAAGCGAACATCCCTTTTTGCTCAACTTTTCCTCGGTATCTGGATAGATTTAGTCACAATTAAAGAGAAACCTCTGTTAATAGCACAGTTTCAATTGTGTGACTTAATTGGAAGGTACATTAAAATTAATGACTATTAATAAACATAGTTAGTTATGTAGTTATATTTTTAACTACCGTAAAATTGAGGTTAACATACCTCAGGACTAAAACGTATATGACCTGATTTTTATCCTCGCACAAATGACAAGCTTGTGTAACACAAACTGAAAGTTTATTTTCAAACAACTCGAAAAATGAGATGTGTTATAAATAGTAAAGTTTATGCTTATTGCTTTTCATTTTGGGTACCGGAGAGGACTATTATTTACAACAGAGCATTTAATAAAAAATTGAAGATCCCGAGGACGAATAGTAAAAAAATATACAACTGCCTTAAGGAATTATCTTCAATGATTAGAGGGTAGAATCACAGCTAAAATTATGAATTAGTAGACCAACATTAATCCTTAATCATTAGATACAGTTATTTCAAAGTAGAAAAAATTCTAAGTAGCATCTTGTCACTGATGATGACTTGAGGCGAAGTTTGAATCCATGGATCAACTTTCCGTGTGACACAGAGATAGCTTGGTACGTTGAGTTTACAGGCGGAATGGTGCTCTTTGATCCGTTGGTGTGGATGACTTCGAGTCCCTGCGGGAGAGCCCGGTTGCTGTGTCTGAGGCTCCAGAGGATTTACGTGTCAATCTAGAACCAGGAGTAACCGGCGTTGATGAACCAGATGGCGTTCGAGTTCTGTTAAGTTAGTTCAATCAAATTTATTGTATTAGTTAACATTCCAGCCAGCAGGTTAGAGGAAAAGACAAGACAGTATTTAACGAAGATGAACACAACACAGAGAGTGTTAAAGGGAATCAAGAACCTTATTAAGTTAGTTAGTTAAAACTTGCCCAAAAGTTGCCGACTGAAAATTAGCTGACTTTATTGACGATCTTGCCTAAAAATACAGAGATGAATACGGCCAGATGCCAGAGAACTCTTTGGAGTTGCAAAGTAACGTGGAGGTTCTCTTTTCTGACTCTTAGTGGACCAACATACCTATTTCATTCCATACCGTTATTTATACATCATTTACTCCCAGACAGGGCTCCATTACACACTTTCTTTGCTCGTTAAGAAATTTTCAAATAAAAAAAAAGTTACATACCTAAAAGGAGGTATTAGTCTGCCCACAGAAAGGAAACAAATGAGAAAGGAGGTTCATTCTATTTTCTCTACTTTCATGGCTCTTGAACCGCACCCAGGACCCACAGAAATAAAACTGTGCCCTTTCTTGAGAGTTAATTTAAGTAAGGAACGCAGTTTCATACTTGACTCCTTTACAACAGTAATCAGATGGCTGCTGACTGATGTAAATTCTGTGATTCCATAGTTACATGGGATGAAAATTTACTAAGATAATACCCCATTGACAAATCATATTTGACCCTTTGCCAAACTCATGTAAGATTTCAGGAAAAAAAGCCAACGAGAACAAGTCTAATGAAAAGTTCAAAATTCACCTTGTAGGTTTCGGTATATTAGATGATGGTGTTACAACTCCTGAAGTCCATCTAAAGTCGTGAGCATTAGACAAGGAAAAGCAGACATTCAATATAATTATTTGGTTAGTAGGGAGAAAATTTCCGCAAAAAGGAGGAACAAAGTGAATTATGACCAACTACGAAAAGCGAAAAAAGTCGCCAAGACACTAAGATAAAGTACTAATAAAACACTAAAAAAAGTCATATTTTATTTTATTTTCAACCATATTCATTCAAAAATAATTCTTTGAAATTTTTGCATGGGAGGGGGAAAAAGACAAATGATAAAAACCGAAAAGGAAACGAAAATTGAAAACACCTTTGGCTAAGTTTTAGAAAGTCAAAGCTTTTACCGGAAATAAATCTCAATTTGATACAATGATTTTGAGTTTTCATTTGGAAGTTAAACTGAAATTAAAAATCTAAAATAAGACAATGGAGTAAAACCAAGGAAGACGAGGGACGAAAACAAAACTTGGATGACAGAAGGATCGAAAACAAACACACGACAAAAAAAAACGACCAAATTAACTACAACAGAAAAGACAGATTAGTCAAGAATTGACTGGACCATACCCAGAAGAAGAAGATGAAGACATGCTAAGAAGAGGCCGCGGACTGTCCATTTGTGCCAGTCCAACAAATACTGGGATCCGAGATCGACTATTATCAAAATAAATCCAGTTAGATGGGCATATTGGAAAAAATATTTTAACTGATTGTTAGCACTTCTTAATGTTCTCCTGGTAGAAAACTTTTATTTGAAGAAATTCATTATCAAATAATTTTCATCCTTAAAGTGAATCTTGTAAAAGACAATTAGATGTTGGCAATATTTTCTTTTGACTAAAATCCTGGTAAGACCTGCTCCTTTTTTTGATATTTATATTTTAAAGTGTAAAACAAGGAGTCTCAAAATAACAACTTCAGAAGAGGAAACTAGTCAAGAGAAAATAAGTCATTTTAATTACAAAGTATCTTATTCAATAGATACCCAGTAATATTCCCTAGGTTTTCAAGTTGGTTTTCATAATTTATCTAGGGTGAGCCAAAATTATACTCTTGTGACTTCTCAACTTTGAACAACTTTTTAACTCTTCTAAAAGGCTTAAATCCTACTCCAATTTTTTGAGGACTGAAACAAATTCTCAAATCTGCTGAAACTTTATTTTCTTCATTAGCTAAAGTACTACGACGAGAGCTATGTTTCTTGGCCATTCCTGATTTTCCTTCACTGATGTCAAACCTCCAACCAAGATGGGAAGGAATTCTGATGTACCTACTAGAAAATTAGGAAGAGATGTGCGGAGGAAATTGTTTCAAGAAACATCTTCGGATGTGATCCTAATACAATTGATTAAAAGAAATGATTAGTAGTGGTTTTTGAAATTACCTTGTTCCAACTCCAGTTAATGTTGGTATGCTAGAAGCTCGGGAGATTGAACCAGACCTGGTGTGGGTTTAGAAAAATGTTAGGTTAGGTTAGTTGAAGCTTTTTCAATTTTATGAATGAAGTCTGAAACTGTCTAATTCACTATGAACTATGTCATTATCTCTATATTCTGCTGTAATAGTGAAGAGAGCCTTAAGTGCAAAAATGAAGTTTAGAGAAACGGAGCTCAAAAGCGTCTAGGCGGAAAATATCAGTAAAAGAAGCCTCTGTTCTTTGTTAAATTGGCTTAAACTATCCGAAAGACTCTCAGAAATAGTTTGGATGATTAAATATTGACGAATTTGATTTTCAACGTATGAAAACAGGTTTAATCATTGTCATGTTGGGCAAGACAGCTGAAAAAACTATCTTCTGCATGTTTTTGTGGTTGCATTTTGAACACACAAAAAACAAATTTTAGGGTTGGTATTTGGCAGACAAGGGCATTTTACTTAAAAGTGCTGCTCTCATTGGCTTTCTAGCAGAATAATGCTCCTTACAGCTGTTTTGTCTGAAACAACGTCAATTCTTGCGCAATTATGGTTCAAAGGAGGAATAATTTTACTCTTTAGGCAGCATCAGTAATTTTGTATAAATTAGGTTGGGTGAATTTTGTAGGAAACTCAATTCTGAAAATTTGAGAGTATCATTCTCTTCACTATCACAGCAGTAATGCTCATGTAATCTTTCCCACAAGACTCTACAGTTAGTCCTTGTTATTTAAATAAATTGCTGGAATCAGTTTGTGCTGGCTCTAGTTGAGCCTTGTGTAAGGTTTGCAGTGCTTCCCACATTGTGCAACTTCTCTCTCGATTTGCCACTGAATCATATGAAGGTTCTAAGGGTATTTTTACCCCCAAGAATCCATCATTCTCTCACTCATTTTCCCATAAAAATGATTAGTATGCATGTTTGTTAGATATGCTACAGATTATGTATGAAATTGCACAATCTAACCAGCACTGCAAAGCTTACACCTACCATGTTCCTTTGAAGCATGTCTCAATTTAGTGCATATAATGTGCGCTTAGTTAGTTGTGCGTGCACATGTCCCTACACCCTTCATAAACAAATTGAAAATAATAATTTAAAAAAAAAACCCTGACTGATAATTAGACTCATATTACGATAATGTAACATTTCAGTTTTTGAGCAAACTAAAATGGATAATAAAATGCTGTTTTCCCGAACTAGGTCTCTCTGATAACACTTTGTGAACTCTACAAGTTAGTATCCCAGGTTTCATGCAGCAATTTCTTGTGTAAAACAGAACACCCTCTCCTTAGGTCAAAAGTTTTGATGTCAACTAGATGGCTATGTAGACAATATGACTACATTACTTTTGTGAGAGACCAGTTTGGACCAAAGGAGCTATTCCATTTAATCTATCTACTCCAACGAGATTAGGAATGATGAGGATGAACTTACCTAGTTCCTGAGGGTGAGCGGTTGCGAGAGGTGCTCCCACCATTGACAGAGGGCACAGTTAGTTTGCGGCCAGGAGTGCTGGCGAGACTGCTTGTTCTTGTAGATGAGCGACGAGGGATTCTACTAGGTGTTCCATCGTCTGAAAATTAAGAAAACTCAAATTTGTGAGGCATGCAGTTAAAAAGACGCACAGAAAACACGGATACCAAAAGACAAACTTGATTGAGTGAGTCCATTGGTTGACTGTCAATTGATATTCATCACAAACCAGCTTTTTCTTATTTTGCACAACAAGTCCCTACCGCCAGCAAAAGAGATCCTGCCCCCCCCCCCCCCTCCTGGACCTCTAAAGGTAATCCAGTTCACAATTACACATTACTCGCGTCAAGAAATGTTTCACTGCAGTAAAACCGATTGAAATTAATAAGCTTCAGTTGAGAATTCATCACACTTAATTGAACTGATCACACCTTCATCTAAGTCAAGTTTTTGAAAGAATTCTGGCTGGTAAGGAGTGATGATACATATATACTTTGCATTAAACACTCCTGAGAACATTTTGCATAGAATTTAAAATGAGCTTTTGGAAGATGATTCGTTCGTCGGTATGACAAAATATAAATGGATTTATAGAAGACATGATTAGAAGAATGCTCTTCCCACAGGTCATAAGGCTGAACTGTGCTCATACAATTTTTTAACAAAGCAAAGGGACTCTAGATAGAGTATAACATTGAGCACCACGATATATGTTTCTTCATCAAAAAACAACGAACACCTAGAGAATTTTCGAATTCCATTCTTTACTGAGAAGGTAGCAACTTATGGTCTCAATGATTTAAATGTCCTGCAAGCCAAAAAAACGCAAGTCTAGCCAAGTCAAATTGCTTACTTCATTAATTTGGTGTGCTTTATGATGGAATAATTTTTTCTGAGTTCTAATGCTAATTTGCAAGTGTAGAGGTACTGAATGCTAACAAGGAGATGGAATGATTATGAAGCCGAAGTCTAGTTATTGGTAGAACATCCAGGTATCCATATCTGTTTTCAGTAGCTGATTTGACCTATGCTGACTTAAGTTTTTTTTTGTGAGAAAGACTCTTCAATTCACTGATTCAAATGTGAACTATGAACAAAATATGACTAGATTCAGGAAATTCTCAATACTTGCAACATCTCTTGAGAGAAAATTTCAAACAGGTAAACATGTTTTGTAGTACTTGAATTCTTACTCAATCTGGTGAAAAGTAGTCCCATTGAAGAAAAGTAATTACATCATATATTTGCAGTGGAAATATAAAACTAAGGAATAAATCAACTGACCTGTGCTATCCAATGAGAGATTAGAGCCATGTCTGCTTGGAGGCTTGCTGCCTGTTCTACTTGGTGGACGGCTATTATTTCTGCTGCCTGGTAAACTTCCGCCTGAAAATCACCAAGAACCATACATGAAATTTGAAAATGGAGTAAAATTTAAGCTAAGAAATTGCCTGAGAACTATTTATCGACGGAATGCAGTTAAAATACATAATAAACGATTTAGGAAATGCTAATTTCTTTTGAATTACCCCTCACAAGACGTTCTGAAAGGTAATATTACCTGAACCCACCTACAAATCCGATTTTGTCACTGACTGATTGATCTACAATGTCAAACCAATAAAGAAAATAGAAGCTACGGAAGCTGAGAAAGCTGAAAATATGAGGTTGTGACGGTTTACCGAATAAAGCTGAATATCGACGGTGAAACTCCCAAACCACACATCTTGTTTGCGGAGTTGTAAAAACTTCATTCCCATTTTATTTTCTTGAAGGGAACAAATTAACATCATTCCTTGATATTTTCACTGACTTTTCCTTGCACAGAGAGGAAAAATCATGGAAGTTTTAATGTGCTGACATTGAGTAGTTTCCCATTTAAAAAATAAAGTATGAAAGGAAGTCTCACAAACCAAGATACAAGGTTTGGGAATTTCACCATCGGTATGCTAAATGAATGTTAATTTTGAACGATTTGATTGTCTCTTAAGTAAAGAAGACAAAAAACAGGGAAATTTTATTTTTGGATAACAATTGTATGATGGTTCTTTGATAATAAAGAGAGAGAAGTGTTGGAAAAATAATTACCTGCAGACAAACTTGATTTTCTTAAACCTGAGCTTGAAACTTTTCGGACGGGAGTCCTAGAGTAAGGAGAAGACTCGTTGTCACTCAGAGAGTCAGGGGTACCTGCAGTCCTATTCACTCCTGTTTTACCCATTGGAACACTACGAGCACTGCGTTCTCGCACCTAATTAAATTGAACCAAATGCATGACCTTAGAAATTACAATCTTTTAACCTGTTAAACGTCTATTTCAAACAGCACCATTACAATTCTAATGAAAACCAGTTGCTCATTGTTTTACTAAAATAAATTATCAACATCATCATGTAGAGCGTCGATTCAACAGCCTACGAAAATTTTATTCTTCACTCTTGCGCCAACAAAAACTTAAAAATTGAGCATATAAGGTATATTAAAACAGTATATGGACTGGAGCCATGATGACCTTAAACACAGGCCAATTGGACTGAATTAAGGAGAAAGATACCAAGTGAAATCAGCTGTTGGACAGCATTCATTGGACAATTTATTTTTCAATCGGAGAACTCTTAAGTGGATTCTTTAGAAAATTTCAGGGGATTTCCTCCGTGACGTGTAGCAAATTACATAAAATTTTCAAAGAAACCTGAAAACCATTCTTCTGTAAAAAAATAAATTTATCGATAAAATTTGGCCAACTATAATCTCTGACTTGATTTTGTTGTGTATGATCAAATTTCACTCTACTTCCTCGTAGGTGCCCTGTTCTGAATCAGCTTAAGTACTCATGAACTGGTAAAACTGATAAATAAATATGGTTTTCTTAGATTTTAAAAAATAATAATAATAAATCAGGGAGCGCACAAACTGATTTTTCTTGCCACTTGGAAAAAAAAGTAGACAAGACGTTCTGATAACAAATCTGAAGATGGATGGATATTGAAATTAAATTTTCCAGAGTAAATGTTCCTTTCCTGCTCAACCGTACAAAGGCCGCCATTATCAAGAGGTCAAATTTTGCTTCCTCTTGCTTCTAAATTTTAAGAGTTGTCGGTCACTACTTTGATACTCATGAAATTACGAAATTCTTAAAAAACGAGGTACGATTATCTCCTTTTAAATCATCTGTCCAAAGTTCTAGGGTCAAGGGTATCAGGTTTATAACATCTTGATGAAAAAAAAAAAACAAATTAGGTTGCATTAAATAGTTTGTTGCTGTCTGAAAAAGTGTGGTTTTTACCCTCCTTATACTAAATAGAGTAAGGGCAGAGATGGCTTCTGTAGTTAGTCATCAAGGTTTGAAAGGAAAAACTAAGAATAATTCAAACGGTTGAAGAATGCAACTTAAACTTAAGTTGGACAAGTCTTCATAGATATTCTCCAGGAATAAAAAAAAAAAATTAAGAAACTGTTGAGTGTTAGTTTACCCAATGGTAGCTGGGTGGTCTTGGAGTTCCCATGGCTAGCGGGTATGAACACGGCAAATCTTCACATTGACGGAGGCTCTCGAATATTGGCATTAATTGACTCAAAAACTCCTCAGCTGATCAGATACCAAAGATATTAATAACTCATTCGAAAAGACTTCAAGTCTCTCTCTCTCCTGGCTTTTCATGGAAAATACTTTAAAAATCCGTAATTACTCACGATGTTTACGCCTGCCACCTGGCTCAACTTGGAGGAAGTATATGACATTCATACGTCAAAAGTTCTGCTAGTTAAATGATGCAATTTGGCATCTAGATTCTAGTAATGACTGCCTCAGCTCTTGCTTCAACTTTTGGTAGTATAGGATAGCGGTGAATAGGAAAATGCAAATGAAGGGATAACAGCTAACTTCAGACCAATCATCATTCAAATAAAATTGAGTAAAGGGAAGTGAAAAGAAAATGAAGAAAAAAAATTTCCAATCGAAAGTAGTTCTGATAAAAACAAATGGCACCTCCTCCCGACTTTACAAAAAAAAAAGAAGTATTTACTTTTTTTTTTACAAAATTCGTTGACTGGACTATACATGTCTCAGATGTTTCCTAAATGAGATTGATTGAAATTTATTGAAGCCTGGCTACTCTGGTGTAGTTGTTAAAATTTTTTACTCAATTTCAAAAGATTATTAGGTTCCCTTTGAAATCAGAAGTTAGAAATGAAAAGTTTAAGTGATGTCTTGGAGACAACTACATAAAATAGACACCAGTGGGACTTCGAATTAACCTTCATGAATGACAACGAAACAACGATGACTGTCGATGAATTAGGAGTTGGTCTGAATTGAAATTATCTCAAAAATAAAAATTCGGTTTTGTGTCAACAACGGGTAGAAAAGAAGTGTTTTCGGGTCACAACAAGTTGAAAACTTTGGCAAAAAAGGCTTGCTGAACAACACGATAATCAATGAAGCAACTCTAATTAGTGAAAAATCACACTCATTCTAATGCTACGAGTTAAATCAAAACGGAACTTAAATGCAAACCGAATAAAACATTTACAAACCTCATTTGCACGGGTTGGGGATTACCAGGACCAACATTAACGGCTCCTAATGATCTAATAGGCTTGAATAGTTATAATATGCACTGTTGTCAGAGCTAATGGTTTGTTGATATTTCATCAATTATTCGCGACCAGGAGTTACAGATTGCAATATACTTCATTACTGGAACCCTCCCAAAACTGACTGACACACACTCTGCTTGAAAAGACTGATTTCCTTCAATGTTTGAGTTTTGCTAATCCACTCATCACTGCTCACTTTTGGTTTCACAACCATGACAAGGTTAAAAATGTTTTACAATACTTGTAAATTTAATAGGAGGAACAATGCTTGGCAAATTTTGTGCAAAATTAAACTTGATGCTCGTTTTCCGGAGGCATTCAAGAAAGTGGAATATTATAGAAGAAAAGATTAAATAATTGATTTGTGCCACCTGAAGACAGGAATAAACTGATGGAAATACTGCAATGCAAATAACTTAAGATTCAAAAGAAAATAATACCAAAACCTAATCTCCAACAGTTTGATAAAGGAGATTTCAAACCACAACCAAAGTAACCACAGGAAATTACAATTTGATACAGCAACCACTAACCTCTCTTATTTTTTATTTGCTTAATTTGCTAATCAAGATGAAAGATAAGTCATTCCTTAAGGAATTTAGGAAAAAAATACATGCATATATACGATTTGTGGCTCCCTAGATTTGCTAAAAGAAAAAAATCATTTCTCTGACCATCAGTGTTACTGATTTGGCGCAAAAATTCTGCATGCAACTTTACGCAAAATAGCGTCCTTAGCTAATCAGAAAATGGCCGATGTTCTAAAATTGATCTGCACAAAGGTCATTTTTATGGTAAGTAAAAATGTATTTTTTTATACTTATTTATTTTACATTATTCAATTAACCAGTTTACTTTTTTTCAAACTCATAGATAGCGAACAAACATCGATAGGCTTTGTTTGACAGAAAAATGGTCGTTTTCAAAATAGCATAAATTGAACATTTTCATTTACATTGATCGTGGCGATTGATCTTTGATACATAAACTGATTTCAATTTATAATGAGTTCACATATGTTTTGTCCTTTTCTGCAAAGATTTGGAAGTTTTCTGTCTTTTAAACAATATTTTGAACTTGATATCAGGTGATCATCATCTTTAAAATCATTTGTTTTGCAGTAACACTTGAGCACGAGATCACTTGAAGCATTGTAACGGAGATTTCAATTTAAGAAGTGCTCATCTTGAAATTACGGCCTGATTCCTGTTTAGAAATTTTTATTTACCCTAAGTGTGATTTGGAAAAAGTTGAGAGGCACTACTCACTTTACACATGGTGCCTTGTAATACAATGATTGGCCCGAAATATACACGTTGCCATAGTGTTGAAAACCGATTTGTTAAACTCAAATTTTGGAAAGAGACCATAGCTCTTGGTGGCAGGATTGTTGTCAGAGATTCTATGCTGAGAACCATACTTTGACCCACCTCACTGCCCACTAAAGTCTTTGAGCCTATTTAATCTTGTATCGCCTAGTGTTTAACTTAAATTGCATTTGATTGAGCGGATGTGCCGGCAGGAAAAATGAGAGATGCTATTATCTGACAAATTTGCACTATTAATCTTTTTGTACTTTCTGTGCACATTGAGATGCTCTTGAATACTGTTTTTCACAGTTAAATAAGCTACGACATTAAGCCTTAGTAGGATGGACATTTAATATCTGTGCTACAAGTATCTCAAAAATTATGAGGATAGGACTCAATGTACATGCAAATGTAACTGGGTTCTGTTTCTATGTACACTACCCAAGTGAGTCTCTTTACATTGAGATAGAGTCTAGTATTTTCATGGGCACAGTAATGGCTAAGAGTGGCAAATCTGAAACACACAGATTTAGATTCACACTTAATTTTCCGAGCGGCATCTCTACAAGTGATAAACGAAGAATACTCAATTTGCACAACTACCCTGATTAAGTTACATGGTGGATGAAAACTTGAAAAAAAACCAACCTTTGTGATAGGTCCAGCATTGGATGTCAAAGAGAGAGATCGCTGGTTCGTGGACGGAGAGGATTTCGGTTTGAATGCAGACATGCTTTGAGAAACACCATCAGCCAAGATGAACTGTTCTCGGAGCTCAATATTCGTGCGTCCTTTAGCTGTTTACAGCGTGATTTCAGAGGGACAGGACAGAGAGAGAAGGAGAGAGAAGAAGAAAATTAAATAAAAATTTGAAACAAAATACAAACCAAAAAAAAAAAATAAATAAAAATAAAATAAAAATGAAAAATATCATACAAAATATACACATTGAAAGCATTTGGTTGCAGCTGCCATCAAATCATAAGAACAGAGATATGAAAGCTGGTGCCATAATGGAGGATTGATATCTGACATGTGGGTTCTCAGAACTAGATCATGGACAATTAGACCACTTCATCTATAACCCTATTCTCATTTTCATTCTACTTAAGCTGTGAATATTCTGATGCAGAAAACAAGCGATTCCATCTGAGAGAAGAAACCCTGCCCAACTAGCATGAATTCCTTGTCTTGATACCTGCTCACTCTGTAGAAATTACTGAATTAATTGCAAAAAATTAATTCAAAATTGATCCTTCAATTTGGTAAAGCAAAAAAATATACATGTATATGATTCACGAGAAATTTACAAAAGAAAAGGCAGCTTTTAATTGAAAGTTCTGAAATTCAAGCAAGTCAGAAACCAAACAAAATAAAAATTGCTGAAAACAAGAACAAAAATTTTAAAAATAACACAAACGAACTAAATACACGAAGAAAAATTATAATATATATACGTATATAAAAAATAAAGTGACTATTTTTCGGGAAAGCAAGCAAGCTGTGATTCATTCAAAGCAAATATTTTAAGTCACAGACTCGCACTTGAAAATAAAGGTACAAAACCAAAATTCTAAGTATGTGATCTGTTTAGTAAAAAACTTTAGACACTAGTTAATGGGTATAAGATATAAAGAGGCATTTCAGAAACCTCAGTGGATTTGTTTTGTCAAATAAAGACAAATCAAGCAGAAAACTTAGGAATGGATAATTTTTAATGGTTCAAGTTCGGATCTAAAATAAGAGAAAGTAGTCAGATTCAAATATTCGCACCACCCGATTGTTCTCTTAAAACTTTCATTGTTGCATTAATTTTTAGACAACCTCTGTGCATGTATAACTCATGTCTTAAATGTTGAGCGAGTAAGAGAGGTAAGGAGAGTGTGATTAGAGTAAGCTTCTAGATTTCAAACGAGTCTGCACTAAACCTGAGAAGTCCTTCTCTTTTTTTTTGCTCTTCCCTGTCCTTTACACTTTATTCCAAATGAATTGATTGATAAGGTACTCTTTGCACTTACAATAGTTGTGGACAAAAGCTACTAGGCATGCTAGGCTAGATTATCTTCTACAACAGGAAAAAAAAGAGGTCTTTCTGATTCTTGATGTAATTTTAACAGAGGCATCTTACTTTCCGAACATTTTTTGAACCTTTACCAAGCCCTGTTTCTCTTTTTTTTAAAATATTGCATAGCCTTGAATGGATTCTGGAGATAGCAGTACACTACTAAGTTACCTAAAGACCTAAGGTTAAACAAATACAAATTGCTTACTAAAAAGCTCAACTGGTCCATATGGACACCATGGCTCATGTTCTTCCGGGATGAATGGATTTGGCATGGGTAGCATTTCAACTTTTTTCATTATAAAAGAGCGACATTAAAAAAGTAAAATTTTCCATCAAAGTCAGCATTATCATGCATGAGGCCAAACAAAAGGCAAAGAAGAAAAAAAAATGAAGAAAAATAAAGAGAAGAACAGAAAATTAGGAGATTCAAGGGAAAAGAATGTTACAGGGGGAAAGAGGAAAACAAAGAAAGAAAACAAAATGGGATTAATTACAAAAGTACCAGACCAAGTGCATATTCCAATTAAAGTTATGAAACGCCAAATTACGCAAAGATTGGTAGATCATTTGCACACAGCTAACAAAACTTCAAACCAATGGGCTCACGGTGGATACACTTGAAATAGAGAAAAATTAATTAATGGTTAGAGAAAGAAAATGGCTCTTAGGAAAAAACAGGGGTGTCCTTGGGGGTAACTAACAACTTAGACAACCCCCCCCCCCCCCCCCNCGGCTTGAATGAAAACCCTTGGAGTAAAGGCAATACATATAATTGAACTAAGCCTTTGAGTATGATGCAGAGGAGAAAAGGGAAGAGGACAAACTAACTGGTTTCGTGTTGCTAATTTTTTAGAGTTTAAAGAAGTCTCCACAAGAAATTGGCATATGTGACAGAAACATACATATCTCTGATAGGAATTTTTAGAACAGCAAAAATGAAGGAATTGAGACAACGCTTCCAAAAGTGAGATTTTCCTCACTGATTTTGATGTATTCTGTTACCTCGACTTAATTCCATTTAAAGTCATGAACCTTTCTTGGGTTTTTCTTCACATATCAAAAATAGTCTTTTTGAAGGAGATACTGCTATAAATTTTTCATTTAAGATAAGGGATTTCCCCGCCATTGAATTGCTCTCTGATTTTGAACTTTCTAGGTCGAGGAGGAAGGATACGTACATAATTTCCACAAAGACTTTTGCATGGGTATGGATGGTTAAGTAAGTTTAACAATTTTTTTTCTCTAAAAACTATCTACGGGAAAAAACAACAAGCTAGTCAGCTGCAAGAGTATACTTGCAGCTGTTCAACAAGGTCGCAACAGAAAATTTGGTTGATAGATTGTTGAGAAGTATAGATTTTCAATATCCTCTTTAGGTCCTTTAAGGCAATTATTTGCATTCTACACATTTTGCAGAATATTAATGTTGAGAGTCAAATTGGACCATACTTTAAAACGGGTGTGCAATCAGCTTTTACACCTTGTTGAAGCTTTTGAAATTTGATGTAAAAGGTGCAAAAATACAGGATTTCTATAATCACATTAGAACGCATCTATTTTTTACTGGGAATTACTGTAGCATACTTGATAATACAATATAAATGGGGGCACAGTTGGAGATAAGGTAAATGGAAAAAATCCATGCTTTCTTGGTAATCTATGAGCCAAAATTTAAGCTATTAGGCCATAAAAAAGCTGAGAGCAAGCTCATTTAAATGTTGAATTAGTTGTTTTTTCCCCTTTAATAGATATTGTTCAAGAATCAAAAATAGGTAAACTTGCTTAAACGTCCATCCTCATACTACAAGTTAAATAAAACACATGAAAATAAAAGCACTCGGAACCATCACTAGCAAGAATCATGATAATGGACTGATTAAAGCGCAAGGGTAGAATGATTGGACCTTCAAGCTCAAAATAACTAAAATCTCGCACCAAAAAAATATGCAGTAAATAAGTCTACTGGTAGTTTGGGCCAACTCCTTTGAGATCAAGCGATTAAAGTAAGGGTTTTTGAAACACAAATGAAAGTAAGTGGTTGAAAACCCTGTCATTTAGGGTGCTACCCTAAGCTGAAGCATTGAGTGTTAACAATGTTTAACATGGAACCCCAAAGCTCCTAATAGAACTTAATTTTATTTTCTTATCAATTGAGATAAGGTTTGTGACATTAGACACCAGGAAGAGAGAGTTGCTTGAGTTAAGCTAAATCTAAAGGATGAAATAAACAAGATATGGTTAGTGATAGTTCATTAATTTCAGGATAAAAATGAGTACCATTCCAGATGGGGGAGATAACCATCAGGGTTAAAATCAAAACTAAGATGCTGTATCAGTTGAGATTTGATTGAAAATTAAAGGTAAGTGAATGCAAAAATAATTTCTGACTTGAACATTAATTCGTTATGTAAATAAGTACTTAATGCAACAGAACATATGAATGAGACAGGTATAATTTAGAAGATGAGAAAAAATGGAATTCTTTTCAACTCTGAATTAGTATAGAAAAAAACGAATGCTACATTTATTAAAGGACAGAAAAAATAGAACTTCTTAGGAGAAAAAGGAAAAATTTAAATGTCGCTCAAACTTATAGTGACTATCATTTTTGAGGTATTAAATAATTTTTTACTTTGAAACGTCTGTAAAACAGGTTTCCGTTGAAAATGCACCACAGCGAGTTACATTTGGCTTTGCCCAGAGCAATTTCTATTGACCTCTGAGGTGGCAAAAAAATAGATTTTGCGTGACTTTTTAGTAGAAAGCCTTTTTTTCTTCTTTACCACAAATCCATCTTGCGTCTTGTAGGAATGTGAGTCACCTTAGTTGCATCAAGAACTGTAAGCAACCTTTCTCAAGTCATGTTTATATCCTATCAACCTTTGATAACACAATAAATAAATCTTAAGTTAGAAAAAAATTAGGATTATGATATAATAGAGCATACCTCTGCAGGGATCATTTTTGATGAGGAATTCATCTAGAGCAACCCAACCACCTCCAACTCGAACCATGACTGTTGAACGCAGGATTCGGACTAGACGTAACTTTTGACTGTCACCAAACTGTTGAAGGTAAAGCAAAAATTAGACAGTTGAAAGGTTGTAATATGCCAAACAGTTAAAATAAACTTACAATTGAATTACAAATGATCATATTGAAAGATTTACCTCAAACTTAGCAAGGTCACATTTTGTACAGGTTTTATGACAGCCTCCCTCAAATTAAGCCAACATCAGCGATATAAGACAAAAATTGGCATTGGTCCATTACAATAGCAACCCTGATACAACAGGTATAACTCAGCCTCTACTGTTTTGACATGCGATCTGGGTGGATGTGAAGTTCCTACAGAGAAGACCATCCATATGAGAGCCCTTTTGTAGGGACAGTCTCAGGAGGAAGCTTGTGAAATGATTGGGACTATTAAATGTTGATGTTGGAGGATGGAAAGTCAAAACTTCCTAAACTCCAAACCAGATACCATTGACCATTCATGACTAATTATACCTGCTGTACTTTTTTTTTTGGAATGCCTGAGGACACGTATCACTTTCTAGGAAAAAAAACTTGATGTAGAACTTCTTTTATACTTATCACTAACTTTGGACTTTGAATGATGGCATGAACAAATTTAAATACAGTTAGTTTTTCGTACGGACACTGAAGATAAAACTTACCCTGTATTTGCCTTCACCGACTTGGAAGACCCTGAATTTCTGCCTACATGTACACAACATGACAAGCCGCTTCACTTCATCATGAATCTTCTCTGCTTCCGTATCAGGCTTCTTCTCTTGCCAATCTGGCCTGAGGGCAGCAATGAATTCTTGCCAATCAATTGCACCATCTTGATCAAACATGTCAGCAACAGCTCCCATTTCCAATTTACTAGTGTCGAATTCTGAAAGAAAAAGCAGAAAGTGAGGGGTGAAAATTGCAGGATTTGTGCCAATGAGCTGCTATAAGATTTCAAAAAGCCTTTTAAAAATTATGTTCCTAATGAGGAAGAGGTCATTAGTCATTGGAAGAACAGATGTTGAGGCAATTCCATGGTTGGGGTCCAAAATGGTATTGTTCAAATGTTTTCTCCCACCTGGGCCCACTTTCTCCATTTTTCTGACAAATCTTGGAGGAAAGGCAATAATCTTTTTTACTTCCAGGAAAGTGTCAGGAAATGCCAAATTATAAATTTTTGTCCTCACTTCAGCTCATATGGAATGTCATTATAGGCCAAGCAAAAAACTGCTTGATTTGCATTTTTCCACAGATTTGTATTTTTAAGTCATGAACAATTACCATGATACAAAAAAACAAAAATCTTAACTTAATGAGTCAAAATAACAAAGCGCAACTTGACTTGATTCATGATTGAGTGGATGGACTATGCACTTACTAGTTTTGATGATTCCGTCAATGAAATCATCTCTTGGGATTAAACCAATGTTGTTTTTATCCATCTTCCTGAACAAATCTGTCAAACGTGATTTCTTGTGATTCATGAAGTTCAGGAACTGTAAACAAGACAGGTGAAATGTTTGGTATTAATATGGGATCATAATACTTAAAGATATTATATGATTGGAAGACAAGCATTTCAGCCGTATGCTGGAGCTCAGGACTTTGATTTTAGATGACTCATTGGTCTGTTGCAGAAATACACATAACGGAAAAATGGAATTGGTGTAAAAAGATGAAAAGAGGAATTCAGGCTGACTTAAAGCAGGAATAAAACATTTTTTGAAACACTATCAACGATTCTCTGTTTCTCCTTGTGATTAGTTTCATCTCAATCTTTGAGTCCATAGTTTATATTAATCATGAAGTCCAGGCTAAGAATCCCAACCTAACCTAACAGGACAAAGCCCAAAGAAGGCCTTAAAACCTTAAAACCCGGTAGAAACCTCTAAAGCAAAAACTGGAGAAATCAGAATATTTGGCTGGTCATGGCAGTGGACTTGGGTTACAGAGCTCTATAAAAGCTGAGAAAATGAGCAACAGTCACCGTGTTTAGAGGTTTTTGGCAGGGTTTTCAAGATTTCATGGGGTAAATGTTCGGACAAAAGCTGAACTTAATGAGGAGCATGATTTGGGTGTGGACTGGAAAGATATGAGTATTGGAAAAGCAGGGTGCTTTGGCAGAAATTGTTTCCAAGTTTATTCACTGGGTAGAGTATGATTGGAATGTAACTTCCAAAAGACTGTTCTTACCCTCTTTCTCCACTCATCCCAAGAGAAGTTCTTCACTTTTTCTAATTCTTTTAGGTAGTTAAGATGTTCCTGGAGTCGGCGTTGACGTTCCCAAGCAAGGATCCAAACGTTTCTCCAACTATCCCATAGAATGCGGCAACGAGGATTGCGGAACTGAGGCTCTGCCGCTTTGCTGAAAATATAAGATGGAGTCATAAAAAAAGCGTCCTACAGATTTTCAGAGAAAATCAATTGATATTACCACTCTTAGACATGGACTCGGGTAAAGATGATGGCAAAAACGGTTTAAGCATCATCAGAGGGAGAGAGAGAGAGTGAGAGGAAACCGAACGAGTAAACAATTTTGACGATTGAATAAGTGTCTTGAGATTACATTACATACAGATTATGTCAGAGTTACAGGGGAATAAATCTCTCAACCCATTTATAAAGAATGGTATTTCTGACATCTTCTTTCCTGAGCATCTTAAAAATGTCTTATGACATCGTGATGTACGACTTGGGTCTTTTTCATAAGACAAAAAAAGTTTAAAATAGTAGAATATTCGATTTATTTGGTGCATTAAAGGAAGCAGAATGAACGTTTTTCAACCTTTTTGTTTTTTAAAAAAAAGTTTACAGAAAGAGCATCCTGGAAATATGGGTGAGGTGAATACAGGTATTAAGTGGGAAGAGCAATACTTTAAAAGAGAAATAAGCACCTGAGCTGTCAGATAAAAATAAAAAGTTATTTTTTACATTATTTTACTAGTCAGAAACCTACCAAGGGATTCCTCTAATAAAAATTTCATTTTTAATCTTGATTTTGAAGTTGCTTCTTTCCCCTTAAAAAAACTGTCTGATAGCTTGCGGTAGTATCCCTAAAAAACAATCTGCAGACAGTCACCACTTATGTTATTTTAATCAAAGCAGCTTCACAAAGGCTACTTTTATTGACTGTACAAGTAGCATTTTGTTGCATTTACTGATTTTCTCATGTGAGAACCAGCTGCATTACTTGTGTGCAACTTGTGTGGTTGTAGGTACTGCGATGAAAGATCATTTTGCACTACCTCTGCACTACCTCTGCACCCCCTTTTGCTACTATTGTTCTTACCAGCGTGTATCGAAACATACGATACACAGCAGCACTTGAAGGTGTCTGGTGATATAGAGGTATTACGCAACTTACTTCCGTGCTCTTCCAATACCTCTAAGAATTGTTCTAATGAAAGGTTCTTAGTGATTAGTAGGGTCCAAGAAAAGGAGAGGATAACAAGATGGGTTCGAAAAACTTTTGAATATTCACCGTTATACGTAAAGTTATAAAATGCTTCCGATAAATGTAACCCTTGAAAGTTAATAATCAAGTGAACTGCTTAGCAACTATGCTGGGAAGAGCAATGTTCAAAGAGGGGGAGAGGAGGGGGGAGAGGATAAAGGTGAAAAGATTGCCTCATTTAAATGAAATATGTAGCTTGAGAGAAAGTTAAATAGTCAAAGCACAATGAAAAATTAAGCTGCGGATTAAATGGATGGATTAATAAATACTAGGGCTGTGCGAATATTTGCATTGTTTAACTCGCGCACTATTCGCAAATTGTGAATATTTGCACCGTCGCGAATAGTGAATTTTCGAATCAATATTTGAAAATAACAGTCTGGAATAACGAATTTCCGTGTGGCAATCGTGAAAAGTTGCAAGGACCTGCGCAAGGCTTCCATTCAAGACATCGCAAACGGCGGATCTCCTTTGATCTTTACTAAGTTTACGAACAGCGTGAACTATTGCGATTGGCCCAAGTATCTTGATTACTCCAAGAGTACCACACATCGAAAGTTAAATAACCAAGACGGAAAGAGGGAAAAGCTTATCAACACATTTTCATTAACACCGGAAGAAATAAAATACTAAAAATGTGTCTGGTGATCCTTAGATACTAGCTTGACTGCCAGTATCCAGGGATTTTCAAACACATTCTTAACAGCCTAGGCTACTATCATAGCATTTCATTGTTTTCTGGGCAGGTGTATGAGCAAATGGAAAATTCTTAAAACAATGAATCACACTTATTTGTCGACTTTTGTATAATATTTGCAAATTTTTGCACTTAAGAAAATCATGTTAGATTATTCGTGGTTTTGAATAATTGACTTACATTATTCGCTATTCGCTTTGTTTGAAAAATTCACTATTCGCACAGCCCTAATAAATACTAACTTGCAAGAGAGATTATTTTTTTTACACTTGATCAGGAGATCATCATGAGCTGGGACAATCCCACTACATCATGACTAAACTGTTATTCACATTGAAAATACCAAAAATCCCAGTCCATACAAAGAATTGCCTATACCATGAACGCGATAGATAAATTTCAAATGCCAGTCTCATAAAAACATGACAAGGAGAGAGTTTAGGGAGCTTAATTATCGACAGCAGTTGCTGTGACCAATATTCATCTCAAACTGAATTAAAACTTATCAATCTTCATCGTTCGAAGAGTGGCATTGCTCGCCTGATCCAACCTGAATTGAGCAAGCTAAATCAAATTGTTAGTTATGCACCTTTCCAAAACTTATACAGCAAATTTCAGTTCTGCGAGAATGAAGAAAGCGCACTCACTCACTACTTCTTTAGTGGCCCAAAAAGAAGAAGAGAAAAATATAAATTATAATTTGAATAATAACACTGAGGGTGAAAATTGAAAATAATAATAATGACGGCAATAACAACAACAATGATGATGATAGGCAGAAGCTTCCTCTATACAGAACTTAATACAAGTGAATCAAATGATATAAATATATATTATGAAATCTCAACTTAAAAGATTAATCAGCACTATTCACTATGAACAGGAACAGTGGTGGAGTGCTCTTGCTTTGATGACTTGCCCATGGAACAATAGTATTATTTTACTTATGTAGGTATTTATTTTTGTTAAAATTTTCTCTTCATCTTTTTGAGTTCTTTGTACAGAAATAATTTCTTTAAACCTAAAAACATCAGTGTTGTGACATTTTTGTAAAACTGATACAGCTTTAACTTGTACAAAAACATCTTAATGCAAGAGATCAGTTAAAATCTTTTATATTCAATGAACTGCTCAAAAAATTCATGACATCAGATGAATCCTGAAATTGAGGCACTGGATGCGAAAAGGGCACTTCTCTATTGCGGTGTTTCAGAATCTCTGTTGCTCATTAATCCCTTAGAAAAGACTTTAATGGGTGATTTTTCCAGAATTCTTTCCACAGAAAATTGTAGAATCATGAGGAATATTCAGTAAAACTTTGAGTGAAATGAATGCATTCACTTCCCTTACAATGAATGAAATATTAGAGGAGACTCTGAAACACTGCAATCGAGAAGTGCCTTTTTCCCATCCAGTGCCTCAATTGGACTGGGTATTCATTTTTAGCGCAACTTCTCCAGAACTGAATTTGCTAGTTTAATGATGATTCAACCTTGAAAAATATTTGTACATCACATGCCCCAAATATATACAAGGAGAGAGGTGTACAGGCTTATTGAATACTGAAGGAATAGGAAAAAGAGAAACGAAATGTACAGAAATGCAACGCACCTTCCTTTAGGCGGGAATCGAGGTCCATAATGCGGTAAAGCATCCACAGCGGGCTTGTCCCTGCTTGGACTTGCTCGGCTATAGAAACAGAGAAAAGCATGCCAAAGTCCACCCATATAGAATAGAAATCAAGATAGAGATATAACATATTCTAGTGCAAGTTCAACACAGCAAAATAGATAGCAACATATAAACTATACATGTATACATGAAAATGAATCTTCAATGAATTTGGAAAATATCTTGCCAATAACTGTTTTTGGGAGAATGAAGCAACAAATTTTGAACTTTGATGTATGGTGGATCATCAATTTCAGGTACAAATTTTTATTCACGGAGCCTAGAATTCTTGATTTACTGTGTTCCCTGACTGATTTTTTTCAGTTTTCACAGAAAAATTCCCTGGTGAAAACTCAGGACTTTCACTCATTTTCCTCTATAGTTACTTTCAAAAAACAAGATTTTTCTCCTCAGTTTGCGGAAAATAACTGGCTCTGTAGATCATTACAACTCATTACTCATAGGAGCAATTGATTGCACATTAAAAACTGAATTTGTATGCTTTTTTTCACTGCAACTATCTTGGTCATTACATTGTGCAAGGTGATTAAGACCACCTTCACTAGGCTTTTTCCTCCCTTAATTTGAGACACCTGAAGAAAGGGCCAACTGATTTTTACCCTGTGACCCAACTGACCCTGTGGTCAAACAATATTAATAAAAAATCTGATCCTATTCTTTTCTTTTCACTTTGTTGTTTTCAAGTCGGGGTCATTTTTAGACAACTTACAATGAAATTAATCACATTGAAAATGGATACTGTAAAATATGAATAGCAAAAATTATAACTTATTTTGAAAGTTTATTGATTGAAAGTAAAAAATTGAGAGAAAAAAAATTCAATCTAACCTGCCGCGGCGGTCAAGAAGATTGTCACGGGATGCTTTGAGACTACACCAATAAGTTGAAGAAAGGAAACAAAAAAAGAAAGAAAAACAGAATGAGACAGGCATACCAAAATTCATAATAACGTAAAGATAAAAATAGATAGAGGGAAAGGTTCTCATGTCAGAATTGCTCATGGGCTCAACAGAAATAATTATGCACAACTCACGATTCAGAACAATAATAATACAAGCTTTAAAAAAACCAAATGGGAGAAAGTAATTTCCTCCGTCAATTTTTTTGGAATGCAGAGTGAGAGGAGGATTCTTGAGTTGTTAGTTCTCAGTGATTTATATAGTGAGAAAAAAAATAAAGGACACATTACATCAGTGGACTGTAATGATAAAAAGAACTAAAAAAAATTACCCCACAAGGACATGAAAAACTAAAGTAGTCTGCGTTACATAATATCTGATTTATCACTCTGCGTTCTTCTTTTTGTTCTTTTTTGCCAATATTAAATAGTGGGTTGTTCACCCATAATCTTTTTCAAAACAATTGATTTGAGTAATTATTCCCTTTATAGTATGAAGATGATATACCAGGATGAAAGAATATCCAATTGAAATCACATTAACTATCAAAAACCCTGACATCGTGGCTTCTATGAGGATATTAATTAAAAAATGAAAGCACGCTAATAGGGTTTGATAAAATATTTTCAGACTATCAATGATTGATGCATTAAAAGGAACAAAAATGGGATACGGAAGCAACAAAAGGGAAACAAACCTTGATTTGCGTGATTCATAGCCAAGTTCTGGCGAGTCTGAACGCTCACTACAGGTGAAAAGAGAGAGGAAATGCCAAGGATCGAGTGCCAGAAAAATGCCAATGAAGGAAACGTGCAAACCAAAATAGTAAGAGAGCCGCCGATAGTGAACAAACACATACAGACAATAGGCATGCATTAGACAAGAATCACATAAGCCACATTGATAAACAAACACAAAACCAGATGGCTCCGATAAAACAAAGACAAGAAAAGAAAAAAATTTCAGCTTTCACAGTGCACATTGCATATAATTTCAGGGAAAAAAAGGAGCTTGAGGATAAGAAAAAAATATAAACTACATTCTGGGGTAAATTTTACAGATGGTGTCAAGGAGGAAACTTAGCAGTGAAAATTTGAAGCACACTACCTAGCTATAATACTTGCTTTCTGCGAGGAAGCAGGACACAGGATGATAGAATATCTAAACGCAGGTTTTAATTTTAAAAACATCTGCTGAGTTATCGACGTTGTGTACTTTGAAGTACTGTAAAGTTGGGTGTAATGGAAAGAAATAATTCAAGTGTCATGTAGATGATGATGATTGAAGTGCAAATGCAAAAATATAAATTCTAGGTGCTGCTCTGAGACTGCATATTAAGGAAAAGCTTGTGAGGTACATATTCTATAAATAAACTAGGAAATAATAAGACAAGAAAAATTGTAATTGATGAAAGATTAAAAGTTTAAAAACTACCTACATTATTTTTCTCGTTCTCATATCTGGCTCTTATTCTCCAAATACTGGTAATTATAGATGGTATGTACTAAGATGATCCAAGTTTGGGGAAAAAACTTCTGAAGCGTTTTTCACTCCAGAGAAGGGGAGGATAAAGACAACGTAAAAGATTCATGAAATCTGAAATTTCTTCATGACTGAAAAGCCTCCGTTTTTGGATACTTCATTCTTGACTTTATCTCGTTGAAAAGCCGAGGCTGGCCATGAAATGTTTCACTGAATAAAACGGTGCAAGGAAGTTTCAGATATTTCTTCCCCCTTTAAAGAGTGAGTTTTTTTTTAAATAGAAGAGAGACATACTATTAAAAGGACTTGGTTTAATATGTATTTAATTCAACAGAAATAGCATATTCCACATGTTCTCTGCCCACGGTTACACATAAAACTGGACTCTACGATTAGTCCCGTTGAGCAAACAGCGTGTCTATGGCACAGTATTAAAAGCTCCTCACAGTGACCATTTAGGACTTGCAAAACCAACAAAAAAAAAGTCTCTTTGGCCAGCCTGGCAGGGAATATGCTAGATGCAGAGCCAGATAAAACTTGAAATAATAATTTTATTTTCGGGGGACTTTATTGACCCTAAAATAGGAAAATAATTCATCAAAATCCCATTCCTATCACTCTATTTCAGTCCACAGGAACGCAAGAATAACTGACTGTACAGATTCAAAGAATTTCTTCTTGTCTAAAGGTAATGCTTACTACAGAACACTGCTAAAAAACACAGAAATGCACAGAAAAGCAGGATAGATAAAAGAAAAATTTAGACTTACCCAGATGTCGATAATCTCTTCATGGACGGCTTACGTTCTGGTTGGATTTGACGAGCTTTGCAAACTGAATCAACTTCGTGTTGCCTGGATGATGTTTGCTCCATGAATTCACGGTGTTCTTCGATAAGTCTCTCGACGATAGGAATTTCTTCTGGTAAAGGTTCTGCTTCCTGTTGAAGTAGTTGGTTTTCTAGTCTTGCTAGCCAAGCCAACAGCTCTTCGAGGAGAGTGTCAAGATCTTGGAGAGATCTTAGATGATCACGCAGTCTTTGTTCACGCTGCAAGAAAAATTGAGTTATTTGTACTTCAGTTCATTTGATCTTTGCCTAGAAAGCCCTTTCTTGGCCTCTTAGCGAATATATTCATAATATATGTACTAGCTTACACTGACTGATTAAACCTCAAATTACCAATGTGGATCATTTTGACCATAGGCTTGTAATTTTGTTGTGCCAATTTTGTTGGAATCAATCCAGGAATCTATGCGTTTCAGTATTTCTCACAAAACTATCAAAAACATGATTTTATTAAATTTTTAGTGAAAAAAAATTTCTTGGCCCCATCTTGTTTTTTCCACTCCAACTCTTTGAGTGACCGACATGTGTCAAAATGACCCAAATTTTCACATCAATTATTTTCTCTTTTAGACCTTAGGTAAATCTATCATGAAAGAATCCATATTTTTCTTAAAATTACATGGAATAATTTACTTTAAAAAAAAGCTTCATGTAAAATTGATTTTGATTATAATCAGAAATTGAAAAGCAAAGGGACTCCATGCAATTCTTTTATCTTTTCTTACTAGGTGCTCTTTCAAGAACACTACAGTCTAAATTAGAGGTTCAACTTACTTGTTTTGCCCAAGTTGATACTTCATCCCATCTAGACTGAATAATGGTGATCCAGTGTTTGATAACAGAGGCACCATCTGGATGTGCCTTCTGTAGGATTCTTTGGGCCAATGCGATTGTCTGATCCTTTTCGTATTCTTTCTCAGCCATTTCACGCATGAATCTGAAAGAAGTTGATTGAGTGATGAAGGGAAATGGGGGAATTTCATTTTTCAAGCACATCTTGTAAACTGTTCTGCAAGTTTTTTTACCATAACAGATTAAAAAAAAGTAAAACTGTTACAATACACTATTATAGGCATCAAAAAATGCTGTCACAGTAGTTTCACTGTCCAAGATGTGAGAAAGTTACAGTAGACTTTGAGAGAGGCAATAATGATATTCATCCACGAATTTTGCGTCTCTGTGAATAGTATACATTTTAAGTTTTAAAGTCCTTGAAAAAAACAAAACTTCAGTTTTCAAGGTTTCTCAAGATTGCTGTATTTAACACATCCTCATTTTAGGCATCCTACACATTGTCCATGATTCCTGCCTCTCAAAGAATCTCATATTAAAAACTGGCAGTGAATAATCTTGGTAAGAGGAGGCATGTGATAATTGAGAGGAATCTTCTGAAAAGAAATAATATCCTCTGGATTTGAGGAAAAAAATAAATATAATGAAAAAACCCAAAGAATTTTATATAGCTGACTGCAAGCCATGCAGAGCGCACACTTATGTGCGTCATGCTATGCAACGACTTGAATTCATCACATTTCATCACCGCCAGGACACAAGAACCAGAAACAGTTGCAAAGAAAAAAATAAAAATGAATGAAAGCTGGAGAATTTGGAACAGTCGAGGAGGAAACTTTTGGTGGCCACACTCAAATCTAGTTGGGACACTGGGGGACATCCTCTTGTAAGAAAACCGGAATATTCACAGTCCAGTTGATTATGTCTCTAAAAATACTTACTTTTCGTGCTCAGTGAGTTGAGCGCGCGTTTCTTGCTCATCGTCAGGCAGAGCTGTGACAAATCTCAACTTCATTTCAGCATCTGATAACCATTCAAGCAATGCATGAACAGACTTGTGAAGTTGTTCAGCCTCTTTCAGTGCCTCTTCCAAACGTTGAGTCTTCCGTTCAGTTAGTGTCGTCACTCGAGACCACATTGTTGTAAGTTCGTTCAGCTGAGAGCGGATAGCGGCCGCATCCGCAGCACTTGCTTTTTCCATTAGATCATGGCCAGTTCTCTGGACAGTGTCCATTTGGTCAGCTCTATTTTCGAGATCTTCCTCAAATACCTAAAAAAATTAAAAGAATCATACTCTATCAATTACTTCCATCTTATAAGTAATATTACTGAATCGTCCCTGAGATCCTCCTCAAATCTCTCCCTCTACATTTTTCTTCACTCTTCTTCCTTTCCAGTGCATTACGAGATACTTTCAGATAAAAAAAAGAAACAAAAATCTGTCGCTTTAGGGCAATCCTGGGCTGAATCTTCACCTTCCGCCCAAAATATCACAAGCACCAGTTTTAACCTAATCTGACATGGGGTACTATGTTGCCAAAGTTCTTAAACTTATCCAATTTGTAACGGAAGAAAAAAAATGTAAAAACTAATAACTAGAATCACTTGAAAATTGTACTTGATATTTATTTTGTAATCGAGATTAGTCCCTGAAATTTTCATGAAATTATACCCAAAATTTTAAAGGATTAAATTAAAACAATATTAAGATGTCCAGTATCATAAAGTCTAAGTGTAAATATCGCTTAAGATACTGTGGCCAAAGGGTAATGATAAGACCCTTTTACTTTAAAAAAAAAATTAAATTGAACAAAAGAGTAGTAGTATCACAGCTACTTGTGGACTACAGCTAAACCAAAAAATGTCTAAAGCGTTGCTTACTTTGTGTTGTTCAACGAGAGCCATGACAGTGTCCAAATCGCCGTGAACTGGTCCATCTTCCGACAGCTGTTTCTCTGTTTTCCTAAGCCAATCCATGAGAGCTTCAATTGCATCCTTGAACTGACCACAGTATAGCAGAGCTTCTTCCAATTTGCGTTGCCTATATTAACAAAAGCCGCCAAAGTCAATAAACACAAGGTGATAAGCTAACCCTAATTGTGAGTCTTTAATTTTTCTTCAAAATTACATAGAAAAAAGATGGTAGGGGGAGCAGTCTCCCTTTTTTCTTCTACTTATTTTAGTTATCCTTTCTCTACCTGAAGTTGAAAACGAGTTATTGCGTCCAAAACATTTCATTAATTTTGTTAATTTTGTTTTGATTTCAACAAAAATCAAGGGTTTGGTCGTAATGACAGGTTCGGCAAATTAACAAATTGACCTATTAGTCCTCAAAAATCGAATTAATCAAGGTTCTACTGTGTTGGCTTTGTTTTCAGAATTCACATTCACACAACCCATATAATTCCCCTGAGATATATTTATTGTTATATTTATTGTTAGATATGTTTATTAAGGAGGAGGTAAGCGAGAGAAAAAAAGAGGGAAAAATTAAAGAACCTGTAAATTTGTACACAAATTAGAATACATACCTATCAACAGATTTTGCACAGACTGATGTCCACTTCTCTTTAAGTTCGTTCATCATTTGTCTGAGTTGAGGCTCATCTGTTTTTGGTGCTTTGTCTTTGAGAGCCTTGCCTGTCCTCATCGTGGCATCGTAGGTGGCTTGCTTTCCAGAGAGGGCTCGTTGGAACTCACGGTGTGCGGCCAGACGCTGCTTGATTTGCTCTGGGTTATTACCCATTGAGGATGCTTCTCTGGCCAAGTCATCCAAGCCTTGCTCTGTTTCATTGAGCCAGTTCATCAAGCTTGACCTGAAATAGAGTTAAGAGGTACTATTAGAAAGATTTGTAACATTTTTGAGAGTGAATTGCAAAAATACTTGGGACTGATTTATATGTACGGAAAATTAATCCCTTCAGAAAATGCAGTTGTTAATTATGCGTTTTTCCCATCAAGTTGTGGTTTTTAGTGTTATTTTTTATTATGTTTATAGAGCCTGTGTTCCAGTCAATGAAGTCAATAATGTGCACTATTCATCTTACGGTAGATGTTCAGTCATTTGATCCATCAAGCTACGCTGCGTCTCTCCTCCCAAAGCAGCTCAAAGCCACACGACTAACACCCTATTTACCCCCCAATCTACTACAATAGACCTACTAGAAGATAAACAATTATTCAGAAAATGTAAAGGAAATATTCAGAATGAGGACCACATGTTACGTCAACTTAAAGATGATACTCCACTTCAAGTTACTACAAAACACTCAGGGATCAAAGGAGGAAATAATTGGGCATTAGAGCTTCAGAGTGAACTAACCAAGCATCGTGGAATTCTTTGGCCTCTTTGTAGCCGTGATCTAAAGCTCGTGTACGCTCTGTGCTCTTGCTAACCACACGCTCCCAACGATGTTGAACACTGATGAGCAGGTTCTTGATGAGGATGACATCTTGCTTCTGACTGAAGTACTTGAGGTGTGTTCCCTTTTTGTCTAGTTGCAGCATTGTCTCTCGATGAGCTCCAACATCCTTCTGGAAGGCTTTGTGCTCCTCAATTTGACCCAGGATGGTTTGGAGGATGCGAGACACTGGTTTCAAGTTGCATAACACTTTTTCTGCATTGGTTAACCAATCAACAAAGGCCTGAAATCAATAAGAAACAACTTGAATACTTTAGAACAATAAAAACTGACTTCCGAATGATAGGACAAACTACTCCTATTCAAAATTATAACTTGTCATGTATGAAAACTTGGCTGATCAAAGCTTTCTAGGCCTTCAGAGGGGAAAATCTGACCAGCAAATATTCTGTTTACGCTCTAAAGATGGCGATCCACATTATACTCTTAAATCAATTTGAAATTTTCAGAGAGAGAAGCGTTTAAGTGGTGATCATTTATATACCTAAAGTTTAATTCAAAGTGACAAAAAAGGCAATTACCTGTAATGAGTCGTGGAATTCAGTTGCTTCTTTGAGGGCAATTTCTAATTTGATCTTCTTATCATTGGCACGAGCAGTTACACTATCCCATCGTTGTTTCAAAGTCTTCAAATTTTGTTGCAAGTTGGTAGCACCACCAGGCAAAGTCTTCTTCAAATATTCTTGGCCTTGATCTAATACAGCCTCCACCTTCGGCCTATTCTCTTCCAACTCACGATAAACCTCCTACAATGACAATGATAATATTTGTGAGCCGATGCTGCAGACACATAATGATACACAATATTTCCAATTTCAAGAGACAGACCTCTTTAAATTGACATCAAATCTGCCATAAATAACGATAAAATTGATTTAATTTAAAAACATTTATTTTATTTTATTTTATTTCCTTGTTATCCTGTTTCAATGCAGCTGACTGATGCAGTTTTTAATTTATAATTCATGCATTCTTTAAGATTAGAACGGATGGATTTTACAGAAGACACACATTTTTGAAAAATCTGGACTCTTTTAGGACGTTGGTTACAGACAGAAACATTCAACAGTACAGTATGTAAAATAAAAATAACTATTTCATATTTTTCTGTACTTGCATTTGTAAAATATCTTTTGAAGAAATTAATTTAAGACACAAGTGTTGTTTATCACTAGCTTTCAACTAATTTACATTACTTTTGGCAGGATTTAATTGATTCGTTTCAATTTCTTCCTTTAAAGTATCGCACCTTGCATGAAGTAACAAAAGAATTTGTAGATTTCTTTTCTTATTCCATAATTGTTAAAATAATAAGAGTCAGCTTACCATGAACCGTTCAAGCTGTTCGCTGGCAGTTTCTGGAAGACCTCCTACTGGTTTTGAAGCTGCAATGACACTGTCAATGTCACTCAACCAGGAAAGCAGATCTTGAATTTCAGCAGCAAACCTAAAAAAATAATTAAGAATTAATCACTTGCGGATAATTTGCAGCATATACAGATATGCAACTGTAAGAGAAGAGGAAAAATTGGAAGTATTTACGATACTAAATACAAGTAATCCCCCTCTATAAACTTCGATAATCGAATTCATAAAAACTGTTTGAGGTAAAAAAAATTTAAATAAAACAAGAGAAACAACCCTTTTTTAATGAAGGAAGAGAATTATTAGGAAGAAAAAAACCTTTGACTATTATTACTCAAAAATATTTTAAACCTAATTGTTCACAAACTTCACAGAAATAGTGGATCAGAGGGTGCATTCAGTTTCTCTGGGGCAAATCTACGAATACTCTGAAAGAATAAAGCTTACCTTTGCGCATCACGCAATGCCTCCTCAAGTCCAGTTTGCCTATCAGCCGCTTTCTGAAGCAGGTCACGCCAGTTCTTGTTGAGCTTGTTCAGGCGGTCTTGAGTGCTTGAGGCCTCATCGCTGCCACGACTTGATTCAATTAGCTGTCTACCGGCATCATTCAACGTATCAACACTCGACTGGTGAGCTTGAATATCGTTAACGAGTACCTTCAGCTTCGCTAATTCAACTTCTAGAACTTGCGGATCATCGAACACTGGTTTAAGTTCATTGTCCAATGTGCGGTTGGTGGCATCAATCCATGCCATCAATTCATCTACTGCGTGCTGGAATTGGCCAAGTCTGAGGAGAGCGTTTTCAAGTTGACGCTGTCGCTCGACTACACCTCTTAGTAATTCATCCCAGCGACGATTGACACTGGCCAAAGGTTTCTTCAAAGCAGCTGCTTGTTCTGCTGATGTGCGCTCTGTCAGTTCTTGAGCTTGCCTAAAAATTTTTGGACAGAGGAAATACTACATTAAAAAAGAGATACATGAAATTTAAACTTTAAACTCATCCAAAGGCTGATTCTGTTTGCATGATAGGTTTTGGTTATTCATAAATTAGTCAAATTTATAATGCATAGATTAAAAATAGGTTTGATAAAACTGACTCTTGTAAATTTGTAGAGGGGCTACTTCAAATTTTTTCGGTTTATTCAAAAAGTGACAATATGACCAGCGACTTTTCTCTTTCCTACTGATTCAAGCTTATCTTAACTTGATTTGATGAAAAAATAAGGAAGCTCACTTTAAGGGTAAACTTTTGTTAAAAAGTCTCTGTTGAAATTCATTACCATCGAAGAAAATGTTTTTCTGGATTATGAGATGAGATGGGGTAAGAGAGGGGCTCTTAGGACATCCTCATAAAATTAATTTTTTTTTTCAGTAGAATTTCTCTGATGAATCAATTTTTTCTTTTATAAAAGACGGACATTCACAGCATTTGCAAATTTCTGCAAGTTCAGTCTGCAATAAGTTTCTGCTCATTATCATGCCTGAAACTGCAAAGCGCTGCCTGGTCTGAACAAACATTATTAACCTGCATATTCATGGTGAAGACTAAAAAACTTCTATGACTTACAATAATTTAATTTGAATTAGTTCATTTCTATGCATAGAAAATTTAGTCATTTTTAAATCCCTCCGCTTTGACAAATTGAACATTTTCATTTGTCGCATTTTCCTTGTGAGTGGGATAATAAGTAATTTCCACAGTAGCAAATTTTGTAGAACTTTTCTTTGCCTTTTTCAAAATATTCCATAGAAGAATTAATTGGAAATGGGAATATTAAAAAAACCAGAGGTTGGATGCATTATTTGATAGTTTCTCAATTCACTTATTTTACACAGCTAAATATCTAATGAACTGATAAAACCAAACAGAAGATTAACATTAAACAGCTGAAAAATACGAGCCTGAATGAGGCAAAATCACTTACCGAGTTAAAGACCTAATCATTCACGGCAGCAGGAAATGATTAAATAAACAGCTCAGTAAAGTCATTATTATGAAAAGAACAAGGGTCAAAAACTTGCCATAGAAAAAACAATTACAAATCCTCAAAATTATTAAATAAACTGAATAGCTAACAAAGAGTTAAAATACATGAGTTCGTTCAGCTAGTGTAAGTTCACAGGAAGTTCTTTCAGAGAATGACTATCGTTTCATGGATACAGTAAAAAGGAAAGGCATGTGAAGTCTTATTTTCTGTCTAAAATTGCCTGAAAAGAAGGTGTGATTGCATTATCAAAGCTATCCTGCTTGTCAAAATTTCTACTGAGGTAGCTTTTTTCAGCTGATTCAAAAGTGACTTCAAATTGAGCTAGAAAGAAAATTATTTTCTACAATGGACCAAAAAACAAATATAAAAAAATCCCCATACCTGTTCAAAGCTTCAACTTTCACCATATGAGGATCAACATCGTTCTTGAATTGTTTGAGCTGCGAAATTTGTTTCTTGACAGCATTGATGTCAGAAGCAATTGGTCCAAGTCCAGCAAACCTCTCTTCCGCTTGGTCCAAAAAGTCTAACAAGTCCTAGAAATAAAAACAAATTAGTGAGCCATTTTAGTTCTTTTGTTTCATAAAGTTGTTTAAAGTACGAAGTGAGCTAAGCTGTTTTTTCCAACTTATTTTGTTCAAATTTGATGAGCATGAAATTGTAGACTGGGCCATGTAATTCCAGCGAGCTCAGCTGTCTGCTGATGTGCTTACTGGATTTTCTCATCACCATGGATTTTCACCATCACCGCAAAAATCCTCTCTTTCAGAATTTTTTCACGATGGTAATTAGTACATAAGCATCACTGTTGTAATTTTTCCATCCAGAATACATAAACTTAGATGGAAGTGGGTATGGGACGCCTCTAGCATATTTCAGATTTGGAGGACTCCGCAAAAGGAAGCGTTATAACACCACAGAGGTGATTTATTGAGCATTTTGCCGAACGCATAGTTTTCTTTCTACTAAAAACTATGGAGAACAACTCTTTCCAGGCCAAATTCTTTTGAACTTAACCGACCCACTGGGAGTAATATACTTCTTCCTTATGACTTCTCTATTTCTGATTTTAATCAAATTAAACCTCTTTATCTAAAGATAATGCTCCAAGTTGACTTTTGCAATTACCTGAAGAGTTTCATGGAATTCCATGGCTTTTTCCATCGCATGGATCAAATTTTCTTCACGCTTGGCAAACAAGGCTGTGATTGTATCCCAGGCATTGTCCAAATCTTCGATGTGTTTCTTGACTTCCGGTTTATCAGGTTCACCACACACTTTCATCAACTGCTGACCAGTGGCACGACAGTGCTCAACTTCTGGTTTTGTCTGCAAATTAATAAGCCAATTAGGTGAGTGAAATTTGCTTAAATAGCTTGAAAAAGATCATTGAATATGAAGGTGTCTAACTTTAAAATGTAAATCAAGTCAAAAAAGAATGTTATTCAAATAAGTTTTTTGAACTTTGGAGCAGAACTCAAAAAAAAGTTTTAACTTCATCAAACATGACATTTCAGCAATGTCTCAGTTTTTATAAATTTCGTGTCTATATCATCCTTTAATTAATCACATTAGGAGGAAGCTATAAAAATAGCTATTATACATGCATTTACAGCTTTTACTGCATCATCTAAATGTATTTATTAACATCCATTTTCAATTAGGTTCATTGCTGAGAACTGATAGGTATATTCTGAGCAGACATACATCCTGATTAAGAAGAACAATAACTGAACAATTACTTGATAAAGCAAAATGATTTGCCAGATAATGATCCGAATAAACTCTAAAATTTTCTAGAAAATTACCTGATCAATTTCAGCCTTGATGTCTTTGAGAGCTTCTCTCTGCTGCTTGATAATTTCAGGCTGTACTGCTGGTGGTTCCTGAGAGTTGAGTGAGTGTTGAAGGTCTCGAAGACGAGCCATGACGCTTTGAAGCTCATCCCAGAAACGCTCAGCAATGGCCAGAGCTTCTTCCAAAGACTTGCCACGGTCACCAGTGGCTCGCTGCACATCATTCCACAGACTGTTCAGCTTGTCTAACTTTCGCTTTATATCTGCAGACAGAGTGAGTAGTTCTTGAGTTATGAACTTAGCCGTTATACAAGGATCAATGAAACTCTAATAGACAGGAAAGTTTCCAAGGAAAAAATCAAGATCTTGACAAAAAATCCAGGACAGTCTGATCTAAAACTCGAACCTTTCATCAAGTTGAGAAAAACATGTATTCAATAAAAAGGATTCCTCAATCAATACACAAATGCTGCGCACAACTCGAGTTCCTGATTGAATTCATAGCTCATAAAATTTTTAAAATCCCACTACTTCTGTTGCACAGCAACGTAATGAACAAACGCTGTTAGAAACACCAACCACTGTGATCATTTCGGCCCAGCAAGACCAACAAAAAGACAGTCATTATGATTAGCTTGGCAGTGAATATGTCAACATTTGAGAAAAAAAATTACGAACCTTTAACAGCTGGGTCTGAGGCGTTGGGTGCTTTCTTGATAACATCATTGGCTGCTTTTTTCACTGCCTGGAAAGCTTCTTCTCGCTTGTCCAAATCCTCAATCAGTACATTATTCTCATCAATTTGATCCCTAATGCGTGGAGGATGAGCTGAAATTGGGTCAGCTCCAGCCACCTGATCTGCGGTGTTGGCCAATGCACGCAACATACCCTCAAGCTTATCACTAAATTGACTAGATTCCTGAAATATAGAGTAAAATATTTATCGAATTGAAAACGAGGCTTAAACAGACTGTAAATGATGATAGCTCCAAACTAAACTCCAATCCTACCTTGGAAAAGGTTCTTAAATCTGAATCAAACCTGAAACTTCTTTGTTGTAAATAGGTTTTTACTTGCACAGATGATAATAAAAAACTTAAATACAATTTTTTCCATGAAATCAACTGGTACAGTTTGCAAAGTTGACGTATCAAACGATCTAACTAAATTTTAATGAAATAAATTCACAACATAAATAAAGAAGCCACATTTGAAGCATGGGAACATAATGGAAATTATTAGGTCACTACTGTCTTTAAAGTAATTGGTGCATTTTCTGAGAACAAAGCACAACTGAGATCTCTCCTTACATTAGACATTAGCCGAAGGCTTTCATAAGAGTACCGATCTTGCATGGGTTATTTTGAACATAATGGGTGCCTAAACCCTTCGACATTATTTTTTTCACAATCTATAAATGCATCTGCATAAAATTTTTAGGCAAGTCTATTTACTTTATTACTTTTCTTCTGATTTGAATGTTTTGTGCTTCAAAAGTTTTTGAAATATTCATAGATTAAATTTTTCAAAAAGTTTGGAGATTCGTCTACACTATATTATTTATATATGAACCGACAAAAAGCCTGGATGTTATTACAAGGCTTTCCTCACACCGCAATAGAATAGTTGTTCAGCTCTAAAAGTTTTTTATTAGCTGAATTGATACTTAAAAAATTTTAGTTCAAATGAAGTGAAAGTACCTGAAGGGCTTTTTCGAGTGCCTGCTGCCTTGCCCGCAGCTCTGAGCGCAGAGCATTATAACGAGCATTATCAGAGTCCAAAATGTCTTGAACTTTGCTACCTTCTTCATCATTGCACAAGCGAATCAATGCTTCACCAGTCTTGTTCAGTTTCTCAAAGAATGGTTTGTGTTCACTGATGGACTGTAAGAATAGCTGAAATACAAGAGAAAACTTGACACATGAGTAAAGTTAAGAGAAAGAATTGATAAATAAGAATTAATTTTACGTTGATCTTAACTACCACCCTTTGTTAATGATTTTGCCTTGAAATTCAGAAAAGGAGAAGGGTAAAAACAAAAAACATTGAAGGAAAATGATTGATGGCCAATTTTGCTAAAATTGTGAGATTTTACAGAAAGACTTCGACTTAAGGACGGTTAATATGGATTGCTTGCTTTTGAACATTAAGAATTACCTGAATCAGGTAAAGATGATGAAACTTATTGAAAGATATGCAAAGAGCCATTCACAAAAAAGGCACGTATGCTAAGATTGTGAAGTTTTGATGTGTTTCTCCGTCTCTAAGAGGGACTTATCAAAACATATTTAACCTTTGAAATTTTCTAATCGTATGGGGTAGCTTTCCTGCAGACTTCATGATGAGCTAGGTATGTGAATTTGTATCGGAATGCAAGAACAGCAAGGTTGCACCATCTTAGTTACACTACATGGACATAAGCCTTTTCTCTGAAAGTGGGTGCAACCTCTCTTCTTAAAATTAAAAAATGAGGATAAAATTTAATCTAGTGACATAGAAATCAAAAAAAGGGACAGTACAAAATCACTATATCTGCAATGGAATTTACCTCATTTTTATCTTGCTGTTGAGCTATCTGATCTGGTCTCAAAGCAGGCATAGCCAACATGTTGACTTGGTGCTCCATGTCATCTAACCATGAGCTGAGACCACTGTGTGTTTCATGGAAGTGCTCTGCAAGTGGTAATGCTTGTTCCAAGATGCCTAGACGGTCCGAGCTCAGGCCAGAAACGGTTTCCATCATCTCTCTCAGATCTTCCATCTTCTCCCTAATGACTGAGGTATCATCGTGTTGGGTAGACTCGCGCAGCACCTTCAAAATGAAATCATGGAATGTGTTAATGATATGTAACTGTTCATACCTTTCGCGTTAAAGATCAACTTAAAAATAAGCTTATGAGTAAACAATTCTGATCCTCAATATTATCAGTAGGGTGGAATCTTAATACAAATTGAAAAAAATATTTATAGGGGATGTAAAAAATTAGTAATGATGCAAAACATTCATTCTTCTTAGGGTAAACATTCCTACTTCGCAAAAGAACTATATTAAATCTCCTGTTTACCTTTTTGGCAGTTGATAGAACATCACGTACGCGGCCCTTTTGACTTGAAATATCATCATTGAGTGCCTTATGTTCCTTCAATTGAACTCTGATGACATCAGGCTCAGAGCTTGGTGGCTCTGCTTCCCTTAATTGGTTCTCAACCATTCTGAACCAGTCCAACAAGTCATCTATATCACCGATCACTTCCATCGACCGCTAGAGGAATTTGTAAAAAAACAAAATATGTATAATAGAGATATTACCACCATAAAGTAAAAGAGTAATCATGAAAGAAAAATGGAAAATTTACATCAATTCTGGAATTTTCAATATTTGTACCCAGCTTTAATCTGCCTGTGCTGTTCACAGTATTGACCGACAACTTGAAAACTAAGTTACTAATAGCAACAATAGAAGTTTCAAATATTATTAATAGCTAGCTTTTGCCACTTTTTCTTTAACCAAGTTGATTTTGTAGCCCTCATTTATTTAGACATTGATTTATTTGCTTATTTATTCGTCAATTTCTAATTCTGTAACCCTTCATTTTCTCTCATATTTCACCAACTTTGACCCCCCCCCTCCCCTTCAATGGCTGCAAAATTCATGACGGACCTGAAATTTTAAGAGAAGATTTTTTCTATCAAGCACAATTTGTGAGTAGATCCTTCCATCGAAGTTTAAAAATTTGTGCGGAGACATTAAATTACCTGTTTAGAGAGATGAATGCGTTCTGCTTTACGCTGAATCTGTTCGACAATGGAATCAAATCTCCTGTTATCACGGGTGACAAGACCTTCAATGGTGGCAGCACCTTCCCCAGGAGATATCTGGCACAACTGAGCACCTACTAAATTGATGTTCTCAAGCACAGGTCTGAACTCTTGAATGTCCAACTCAAGGCGCATGATGTCTTCTTCTCGAGGTTCAACTGTCTGCAGCTGTGACTCAGCACCCATCATCCAGTCAACTAAACGATTATGGGAATTGTGGAACTGCTGAACCAGAGGTAATGCTTCTTGAGCATGTTTTAATAAGTTAGCACCTCGAGTTGTTAAGTCGTTGTATCGCCTCTGCAATGAATCAAGTTTATCTTTGAGCTGGATGGCTTCATCGCTGGAGATGTGTTTCATTAGTTCTAATCCAGAGTCAACAGTGCTGTCTACCTCATTCTGACGGTTTGCAATTTCTTCCGTCAGATCTGCGAGATCTTCCATTTGTTCTATTAATTTGTCGGGATGAACAGGCAACACACGGTATTTATTGAGACGATTTTCCATGCCTTCCATCCAGGCTTGAAGGTCCTGGTATGTCAATACAAGATGACGCAATCCTGCTCTTGAGGCTTGTAGTAACTGACCGACATTATCCGATGCAAGGACAAGATTTGCATAACGATCTGCGGTGTCTTGAAGCTTGTCAGCGACAGTTGCAGCTTCATCCTCCCCAACCAAAGCCATCAAGTTACTGGCAATGTCGGTGAGTTCAGTCAGGTCTGGCTTCTTACGTAAGATGTCTTTATGGAGGGCATCATGCTCCCGAATACGTTGTTGAATCTTTTCCTCATCAGTCGGAATAAGCTCCATATCCTTCACTTTCTTTTCAGTTTTGTCAAGCCAGTCAAGGATTGGTACGAGTTTATCCTGGAATTGTTTGGCGACAACCATGGCTTGCTCTAATGCATCCATACGTTGGGCCGCATTTTCTTGTAATGTTTCAAACCTAGTCGCCAGATCATGTAGCTGACGCTCAATGGCTTTGCGTTCATTCACATCAGCATTGGCAGCGACTTCCTTGCCCATCTTGACAAGGGATGACATGGAATGCTGACGGTCGAGAAGCATCTTCTTTAGGAATTTCTGTTCTTGAAGTTGGGCTTTCACCACCTTATAATCAGCAGATGGTGGTTTCTGATTTGCTACCATCTCTTCGGTATCAGCTAACCACTTAGCGAATCCATCAAGGGCTTCTTGGAACTTGCCGCTTTGGAGAAGCCCGACATCCAACTTACGATCTCTTTCATTCAACTTTTCTTTCAGCGCATTCCATTTATCATTCAATTTCTCTAGATCTTTTTCAAGCCCACTTGTATTGACACCACTAGCAGCAGACGAGACAAGGTTCTGGCCAAATCTGTTGCAGTCATCTACAGCTCTTGTCAGAGGCTCAACGATTCGGTTGCGGAAATGATTGAATTCATCCTGCTGTGATTTGATGGCTTCTACTTCTGAGCCAACTGGTTTCAGGTGACGCAACTCCTCACCAGCATGGGTGATATCGTCCATGACAGCAGAGTGTATTTCATGGAACTTCTGGAGTTTTGCCAACACTTTTTCGAGTTCGTCCTCCCGGTTCTTGGCTCGCTCATCTAAGCGGTTCAATTGCCTGATAAGTGAAGCTGCTTGCTCTCTTGTTGTGGCTGCATCTGGCGCAAAACCATTGTCAATTAGCTGCTCGCCAGCTTCTGCTAGACGAGCAACATCGTTACCGGCGTGAGCCAACTTTTTAATGAACTTGGCAATTTCATCTAGTTGATTTCTGACTATTTTGATGTCCCGATCTGGAGGCTTCATGTTGTCAATTTCGTTCTCAAGAGCAGAAAGGTCTACACTCAAATTCTTGGCTCTTTCATTATACTGCGCGAGTGCTGTTGATGCTGATTGGAGTTGAGAGCAACGATCATCTAATTTTGCTGCAAGTTGGTCCAGCCTCTCTCCCAAATTATCAACATCATCACGCAAGTGGCTTGCGTCACCAACACCTAACTCAGCTGCTTCACTGCATAGATCATCTGCTGTCTTACGCAGACCTTGAAGGGGTTTCTTCAGGGCCGCTGCTTCTTCACGCAAAGCTTTGATTCGTTCTAACATTTTTGGATCCCTAGCAGCACCACCAAGTGAGTCATGGGAGGCAAGTTTGTCTTCACAACGTTGAACATTATGCCCAAGGTCTCGCAAATTTTCAGAAAAGTCGGCGAGTCTTCGAGCAGTTTCCTCAAGCCATTGGATACGTTCTAGGAGCTCGTTGTTCAGTTTGTCCCAGCGTGTTTTCACTGCAGCTAGTTCTTGTTTCACCAGTTCCTTGTCTACATCACAAGCAGCGAGGAATGTTTCTCCTAACGTGCGAAGGTTTTCAAATTCACCGGAGTGTTTCCACACATCATTTCTGAAAGTGGCAAGTTCACGCAACTGCCTTTCAACATCCCGCCGTTTGAAACTGTCTGGTCTGAGAGCATCAAGTTTGTTCTCTGCTTGCGATAACCAAGGGATGAATGATTCTAAAGCACGATAGTATTTTTTGCAATGTTCCATGCAAGTTTGGAGCCTAGTGTGACGGTCGACTGCTTCTTTACGTAACTTATCCCAATGTTGCTGGATTTTATCTAAGTCTCGCTGTAGATTACGGGTATCATTGCGTTGTTGTTGTGATGCCAAAGAACGTGCAAGCAGCTCTCGTCCTTTGTTTAAGAGCATGATCACTTCATGTTCTTTGTTTAAAACATCTTTGTAAATAGGTTCATGGAAGTCCAATTGTTGCTGAAGAATTTCTCTATCAGCTGAGACTAGCAGCCTCTCATGTAAGGCACCAAGTTCATCTGACAACCAACCCAATGTATGAGCACATGTTTGTTCAAATTGGCGGCCATCTCTTAACAAAGCCTCAATTTCTGCCTTGCGATGATCTAATTTCTTTTGAAGTGTGTTGTATTGCCTTGCAACTGCTGCTAACTTGCTTTGGATATCTGCTTTTGAGGCAGGATCACTCAGTACATCACATAAGTGAGCACCTGAGGCTTCCAAATCAGCCAATAGAGGTCTTTGACCCTCCAATTGTCGCTCGAGATTTTGGACCTTCCGGAGCTGTTCTTCTGGCTCTTTGTCAAGGGGAATGTCATCCAACTGATCAGAGATTGACTGCAGTGCATCACGGAGCCGCAGCAAGGCAGCATCAAACTCACGACTAGAATTAGCGGCAGCACCAAGACTGTGGGCACGTTCTTCCAGACGACCCAATAGATCAGCCCACCTTTGCAGAATGTTGCTAAGCTTAGCAGAAATTTTTTCTGCATCAGGAGCAGTTGGGTCAGGCACTTTAGACAGCACACTTTTGCCTACTGTAGTTAGATGCTGTAGCTGTGGCTGCTGCGTACGGAATTCTTCTCTCAATACCTGCACTTGCTGGACTTGACTTTGGACCATACGAGAGTCTGAGGATATGGGACCAAGAACAGTCATCATCCTATCCTTGGCACTTAACCATGAGGAGAGATTGTCATGCGTATCGTGGAAATCTTTCAAGTCTTCCATAAACTGAATTCGGTTTTTGCATGCATCGTGCAGTGACTTCCACCTAGATGAGACATCAGCTAATTCATCATGCAAGATATCAACGCCGAATGCTGATGGTTTGCGTCTCAGAAGGTCATTCACGCCTGCTTTAGTGCTATCAAGAAGAGATTGTTTCTCGTACATTTCTTCCAGGATTATTTTGATTTGTTTCGCTGTCTTGTCAGCTTCTTCTTTGCTTTGTGGGATGGATTCTTTTGGCAAAGTTCTCTGCACTTTATCCAAAAACTGAGACAGGGATTTCAAGTGATCAAGATGTCGCTTGACCTCTTCTCTGATCTGGTCTAACTCAGTTTGACGATCGGACAGTCTAACGCCAAGTAGATGGTAACGATTGTTGATTTCATTCAGTTCTTGTTGAACTGGTGTGAGCTCATCAAGGTGGAATTCCTGGGAGGATCTACGGCTACCAAAACCACTTGATCCACCAGGTGAGACTGGGCTTTGCAAATAGAAGCTGCCACCTTTAATGGGTGAGGGTGACGTTTCTTGAGATGGTCTCCTCAAAGACCCAGTGCTAATGGAAACACGTTTGGTTGGTGACAAAATAGCAACAGAGCTTCTTCTTCTCATGGCTAAGTCAGGATGGGAAATAGCGTCATATGCATTACCTAGATCATTGACTTTATCTACAGTCAATCCATAATCACGGTGCTCCTTTACGATGGGTTTGAGGTCATCTGCTTGTCGCTTGATGGTTTCTAACTCTACCGCAACAGGTTCTAACTTGTTGACACGTAATTCAGTAGCATTCAACCATGCAATGACTTGATCCCGAAGTTTCTCATAAGCAAGCAACTGTTCAGAGCAAGCTTTGCCCAACCGTTGCTTTTCATCAAGCAAGAGGTTGAGTTCCTTCCACAAATTTTCCAAAGTCTTAACACGGTCACGCACCATGCCAGTATCTGTCACATCCTTCTTGTTAATCAATGTCTTGCCGTTGCTGACAGTTTGCTCAAGTACTTGCCGTTGTGAGTCACGGACACCAATGAGGTCATCAATCTTGGCTCCATTTAAGTCTGGTAACTGATCTAGTGACTCAGTCAGCCACCTTTCTAGAGTTGTTGCTTGACCATTGAATGAAGTCAATGAATGGTGGATATCTGACAAGAATTCTCCTCTCTTGGCAGTTTTGTCCAGCAACTTCTCAAAACGAGATGTGACATCGCGTAATTTAGACTCAATCTTCTTGGCTAATCTTGGGTTGCTAGCTGTTGAAATGAGCTCTTGTGCTGAGTATGCGACACTGTCTACACTGGTGCGGTGAGAATCAATGTCAGACTGGAGGACCTTGTGTTCACGTAACTGCTCTTCTAGCCTTTCCTTGTGAAGACTTGCAGGGCGAGTAAGGTTTTTAAGACTATTTTCAGCATCATTCAACCAATTGATCAAAGAATCAAGCGCATCTTGGACGCCCTGGGATTGAACCAAAGCTGTGTCCAGGGCTTGACACTTGTTTGCCAATGCATTGCAGAGCTGCTTGTACTTATCCTCCAGCTCTTGAACAGGAATTTCAAGAGCCCGAGCCTCTTTTGGTGAAATTTGCCCTTCTAATGAGCGAATAAGAGCATCGGTGGCTTGTTTTGCATTGTCAATGAGCCGTCCTTGTGCAACAAACTCATTGTTTAATGCTTTGGTTCGGGTGAGTTGATCCTCAAGAGTAATAGGGTCGGCAGCTATGGGTTCTGATAAGAGTTTGTTTGCCTTGGGTTCTGCCTCGCGTAACCACGCCTTTGCTTTTTCGAGTGCATCTCTATATTCTCGCTGCTTACTACCAACTCCACTTAGACGGTCAGAGAGAGCAGTAGCGCGGGCCAGCAAGTCTTTGAAATGAGCTGTTACTGTGGAGACTGTTCCAGATATGATAGACTCGGATGATGATACTGGCTCGATGTGAGATAGACGGGATGGTAGGGATGTTCTGAAGTCATTCAACACATTCAAGTATTCCTGAAAACAAATAAACAATTGGTTAAGAAGTGTCAGCCTTGCCAAAATAAGAAGAAAATACAGCATATGGTGCTCACTTTTCATTATCATTTAACTACGTGCATTGGATGTAATGGCATTTATTTTTAATATTTTGAGCTATATTTTTGTCATGATGTTATGGAATACATGATTTTTTCAAAGTATTGGTTGTTTGACGACATACGCTGTGAGACATTTCGATGAGACAATTTTATTTTTTGAAGGTAAAGGCCTGTCCAAAAATTATATCACCTCAAAAATTTGATTTTAGGATTCAATCCAATAGAGCTAGGGTTTCTCTGAAAATTAAAACCATCTCCTCCCATTCCTTTCTTCAATATTAGAAATTTTTAAAAAAATCCATACTCCCTGATTCAATTGTCACCAGGACAGGCAGTTCACAGAAAAAATGCAAAGAAATACGAACACAAGAGGTTAACTTTCACGAATGAGGTGCTTTAACCATGTTCTTCAGCTATCCAATTGGAAAATCGTGAGATAGATTGAAAAAATCTATGAAATTGTTCCATTCTGTAGCATTAATACTGTATGATTGAATTGAAATCAAAATCTAAAATTGAAGGAGAAAGCTAGAAAATACCTAATTAAGTCACATCGAGGAAAAGAAGACCCCTCACCTGTTTCCCTGAGAGTGACAGAACGTAGTCTGACTTTCAAAGTACAGCGTAATTTATGGATGACCCCTGTTTCGTTTTGAGTATATGTTCAGATTTCCAGTTTGATGAAGTAATCTAATTCTTTGATCGCAAAAAAAGGTTTAAAAAACCATGCGAGTGAAGGAAATAATTGCTATCACTTACTTTGGATTCATCAAAGAATTTCTGAGCAGCCATGGTGATAAACCGCAGATCGGCCTGGTGGGCGATGACATCAGAAACGAATTCACGGATGGACTCTCCTGAACTATCAAGGCGGTTCAAATTGGACAAATTTTGCTCCTTGTCTTCCAAGGTGCGACGTGCTTTGTCCATCCATGTTGTAAATGTACTCACTTCATTTCTAGAAAAGAAACAATTTACATCATTTCATAAATTTAAGGACAAAAGATGTTAATTTGCAAAAATAGGGTGAAAAAGAGACAAGAGACTCAATTTTTCAGCGCAAAATCTCAGTTTTGTGTAGATGAAAAATGACTCAAGGCATGAATATACTAAAAATGAGCTGAGAAGCTCAGGGGGATGCGCACAGCAGTCTAGGTGCATCACAACCAAGAATCCAAGGTCTGGTTCAGCTGAACACAGTTACTTTTGCACCTATACACCAACTCTCACTTGTGAGGGCATCCACATGAGAAAAACTCTGGAAAGCCTTGGTCGATTGTAATAATTAGCGCAATATCAGCAAATAAATCGCTTCATCAATATTTTGAATTCAATAGGATCCACTAATTTTTTTGCTTGAAATTGACTTCTAAGATCCATATCAGAATCCAGTATTACAGCGTCTTGAGGTAATGTGGGATCGCAGAAACCAGAAAAAACAGAGCTTAGTTTTTGATGATACGAAATCATACATTGCTTAAGTTGGCATACAACATGATGTACAACATACATTGAGACAAAAACTTACTTGAACTTGTTGAGTTCATCTTTAGCTGCAATCAAGCGCCGCAACAATTTATCAGTGCGGTCATTGCAATAATCATAGCGGTTCTTCAATGATTTGCCGTTCTTTTCTAGATGATTCACTTCATCTCTGGACAAGTAGTCTCCTCCTGTTGCTACTAACTGTCTCACTTGGTCCAAAACTGATGTAACAGATCTTGATTGAGACTCCAATTCTTCTTTGAGTAACTGGAAAAGGAACAAAAGATTTAAATTTATAATTGACTCAAAATGATCACTGATTTTAGGACTTTCACTCAAAGTGGATATCTTGAATTGTGACTTAAGGATATATATTGCTCAATATAATTGGAGATAGGAAGGACGTGAAAATTTTGGTATGCTTCATTACATACTTTGCACAACTTTTTTATTTACTAGGAATTTCTAAGACATAATATGTCAGGAAATAATCAGCTATGTTAGCTATTAGAATAAATATTCATTGTTGAAATGGGACTTCCTTTATACTTCAGAACCTTTTGAAATCATACCTTCAAGATATTGATCTGGTTCCTGACTTGATCCAGATCTTCTTGGACAACATCTTGGTTGGCCAATCGGTCTTCAATTTCTCCGATCCAGCGAAGCAACTCACTTAATGTATCATTTGTGAGCCGGTATTTCTCCTCGACAGCTTGCTGTAATGATAAATAATTAATTCAACCAGACTGCTTAGTATTGATTTATCTTAGAGCAACACAAAAAAATTTCAGTTTCCACATACCATGAAAAGTCATTGATTATCCAAGATTTATCGTTTCTGTTTTACTAATCAGTATATTTACTTGAAGAGCAGGTATCATTGCAAAACAATTCACAATTTCTTCTGTTTTTAGAGAATTTTTAATGATGTCGATTGTATTAAATTTCATTTTTCAATTAAGAGGCATGGATTTAATTGGCAAAGGGCAGTCGAACCTGCTTGCAACCTACAGCTTACAGCTTGTAACACCCAAAAAGAGTTTATTTCGGTTAGTGTGACTAGACAGTCATTTTTTTGTCTACCTTGTATCAACTTTCTCAGGCTAGATTTGAAAAAATGCAAATATACACTACAAACACTTTAGATACTGATTGAAGAAAGGAAAAAAAAAAAAAAAAAAAAATTGAAACATTTCCTGGAAGACACTTGCTTATTTGCTGCTTAAATTTTTGATCAGTTAAAAACTGACAGAAGAAGAATGATAAATATAAAGAACTAAATGCTTCTTTCGAAAAGAGACAAACTCAATGAAACAATTGAATTTAGCCGAGAAGTTTCAGTGAATGGAAAATTGTATTGACGCATGATATTCTGTTCCCAATAAAACCTCCATAGCCAAAAAAACTTAACTTCTTGGTTCTTTCGTAGTGCAATAATAAATTTTTTTAAATCTTTGGGTTTGCCACGTTTTGAAACAAATGAGGTTCATCCCAAATTTTTCCATGTAAAATGGAAAACAAAAAATTGGAGGAAAAAAAGGAATATGTTTGACTCTAAAAACTTCTTTTCTGCGAAAAAACGATACTTCTGCTTCTCCAAGGTTGGGAACATATTAAATCAGACAATTCAATTATGTATAAGAGTAGAATATCTTATAGATATCAAGATGGCAAACACTAAATAATGTGCATGCACTGTCAATAGTTGCACGATTAGGAAATGACAGAAGTGCACCAGGAAATATTGTAAAATTCCACACTAAGTAAATATATGAAAAAAAAAAACACACACAGGATGACTAAAAATTCATACTTTCTCTCGGAAACTTTGCAGTCTTCATGAAGAGCGAAAATTTTCAACAGGAAGACAATTAAATTATGTAATTACACAAGAATAATTAGTGCCTTAGTGCTTTGTATAGATTGTCAATGAAGTCCGCTATTTGGACCATTCAGGAGTAGAGTAGAGGGAAAAAAAATTTAGAGACTTCCTTTAAGTATGTACGGATTTCGTGCACACAAGAATCTAAAAACTTGCTGTATAAGCTGCAAAATTTCTAGCCTTTCTAATTTTGAAAAAGCAATCTCTGTCAAAATGAGATTTTAGAGACGGACACAGTGTTTGTAAAAATGATGAAGTATGATGACAAGCATGTTGATGCATGGTTCATAAATATGACTAAATATTTCGGTTTATAGATTCAGCAGATAGTACACTGACATGAATGAAGTTGATTAAGTAAATACTATGCAATATCTCTGAAATTGCAAGACCATATCAAGATAAAGAGGGACACTGATATGAATTTGCATGTAATATTTTGCAAGGAAAATACAAATTAAAATATAAATGAGGAAGCCCTCTTTTTCATTTTTGAAAAAAGAAATTGTGAGGCGGTTTCATTCGGACTTAATTTTGCAATTAGGAACTACTCTTTCTGACTCAATCATAAAAGCACTTATTTCAATAGGGGAGCTAATGGCAAATATGTTGTTTCTAAAATAAGCTGGAAATGGTAGTTCCTTTTTGCAAAATAAAAACCATAAATGACTATGCAAAATGAAATTCATATGTATGGTTCCAAATAAAACTTATATACCTATGATCTCTCATCAAATTATGAACGTAAGAAAAAAACCAAATTTTATTATGTTAGAAGATTAAAATGATTAATTTTTGGCAGTGAAACACTTTTGCTTTGGAAGTAAAAAAAATTGAAGTGCACATGCAAACAAAGTCAAGGGGGTTTTAATTTTTATCTTCAATCTAAAAGTGACTCTAGAACCCTGTAAAACAGTGTTCCATGCCTATTTCACTTACATGACACTACTAGCTGCATACAAAATATGTATTATTATCAAAATTCAAAATTGTCTTCCTTGCCACAAAGTTTCTAGTAAGTTCTACTAGTACCGGGGCAGCGACATAAATGATAAACAAAGGTGGCACCAATGAAAAAAAAACAGGTTAATAAATAGCCAAATTTAGGCTAACCACTAACTTGTGTTTAACATATTCTCAGGAAATTTGCAGATCAACACATAGCTCCGTGGTGATCTTAATAGATAGGTAATCATTTCAAGAATGTTTTACTTCTAGAATAATGATTGTTCTATTGGTATTGTTGGGTTTGTTAAGGTTAAATAGCCGATAAGATATTCAAGCACATTCTATGAGAGAAAATAATGAATGAATGAAATCAAGAATTTTAAATATCACTGTTGCATATGTGGTTAATGTCATGTAAGAGTCTCTTTCTTGATTAAATTAGGTAGCAAAAGTGTTTCACACAAAATAAAGTAAAAATGAATAAAAAATAAAGGAATTAGCATGTCTTCAACCCATGATTAGAGTCACAGCATTATGTGACGAGCAGTTATAGAAGCAAGGCAATGTAAGCGACTGGCAACAATCCAGGTTAAACATTACAGCCAGTGCCACACGAGTTCCGTGAATAGCATTCCATTCCGACAGCCAGCGAGTTACAAGTTAGACGAGCACATATTTTGGTTTGGTTAGCTCATTCAAAGTTTTCAAATCGAATTGAAAATAGAAAAACATTTAAATAACACTGATCAGACGAGCGACAATATTCCTGAAACAAGTCAAAACAAAAACCAATTCTGCAAAATAAGAATTAAAAAGCGCATAAATGAAATTGAATTGGAAAACTGAAAAGACAAAAAATACAAATGAGATAAAAAGCTTCATGACACTAAGTCAGATGACTTGCATAACGACCACTTAATGCATAATCTACATGCCATCAGCATCACCACCTGATTACCATACCCATCACAGCCCTTCGAGTTGGTTCTGAAATTTCAAAATTTTATTGCAGCTCGTGTGTCGTAAATGATTCGTGAATGAATACAATCAATGAAATCTCCCATACACATGCAATGTGCTTGTCTGAAAAGAACAAGCATATCTTATATCTGCTGATACAGAGGTCATATTCGAGACATCCAGTTGCCATTTTTTCATGTTGACACAAATAGTAATTAAAAATAACAGTTAAAGGCTCCACCAGTATCTCACTTTACACTTTTTTTTTCAGTAACAGAGGGTGCTCTCTTCATGATTGTGTCATGGTTAGAAGTTCGTCACTTCTGCCCTCAACTAGAGTAAACAACCTCATTTGTTACCGATCTAATATGAATTGGCCACCCAATTTTCATAATAATACTCATATTTATTCATTGATTTGAACGTTTTTGGACAAAGAGAAAGAAAGGAAAAATAAAATATTCTAAACTGTTATTCAATTTACTTTATCTAAATTAATTGCAGAGGCTATGACAGGTACGGAGCAGATGGTGGTCTAGCCTTTTGAAACTGATGATAATGTGATAACAGTACATGATTCCGTGATATATGTCAGAATTCTCTGGTGCATATAGATAGCAGAGGTTCACCGGAAATTTACGGTTTTCTCATGAGGAAAAAGAAGGCAAAGTTCAACTAAAATTTTTTTCTATCAACTAATTTCAAGCTAGTAAAATTTGCACAGTAAACTATTACTCCTGTGGAATGTTATATTTTGTCTAAGGAGAACGATGAGGAAATAAATCCCTATTAAAAAAATGTATACAATTCTTTGAGAAATCTCTCATGAAATCGATCGAATAAAGTGGGAGTAATTTTTAGTCTCAACATTTTAGTCTTGTTTCATTATTTAATAAGAAAGGATGTTGCCGTTCTTTTTCTATGAAAAATGTTTTAAAAATACTGAACTCCATTGGTTAAATGTCATTGGAGATGACGATAGATACATATCTAAAAAATAAAAATTCATGAGACTTGAAAGTTTAGGAGTGATGAGGGCAACTTTGTCAAAAAGACTAAATAAGAGCTGAAGTTGATCTACAGCATATTTCAGATTAGAGACAAAGATGTAGCAATTACATCATGGTACATTTTACAGAACATCTATTGTGAATGTACAATTATAAAGAAATGCTTGTATTTTACATAAACAAAACCCATGGATATGATGTAATTTCAATATCTTTGTCTCTATATACAAATGACTGATAATGGAATTCCAGTGTTGGAAAAAATCCCTTACAAATGCAAAAAATAATAACACAGATCTGCATGGAATAATACACAAGGCATTTAATAACTAATCCCAGCGCTAGTTTCAGTGCAAAAGCGTCCCTGGTTTCTCCCCTGCACCCACCAATTTTCTGCGGATAGAAATTTTTCAGAGAACAAGCTTTTCTCTGGAAAATTTGATTTTCCAGAGAGTTGCTGCATTTCAAAGAAAAGGCAGTATAATTTTCGAATGTATTGCCAATTCAATTTTTTGGAAAATATTCAACTCTAGAAAATCAATCTTTGATTTTTAAAGACTCTTTGTGTGGCAGATATGTAGGTTGAGGGAACATATTTGTATTTTGGCCATCAGGTTTTGCCTCCCTTCCCCCTTAGTGAGGTAATTTTTAAGCCAAAAACTTGATTTAATTGAAACTTTTTGGTTTTCCTTGTTTTTTCTGCCAAACTTGGGAAGCACTGAAAAAATTAATATGGACGTATTATGTAGCTAGACTGAGAGCACCTCGTTATGAAGCAGGGAAAAATTGTCAGGCATGTAAATCATATTTTCATTTATATTTTTGACTGCAAAATTAAAAAATGACCTTGATTTTTCTCAACGATTTCTTGTTGATTTTCCAGAAAAATTGAGTTTTCCTTGGAGAGGCTCTTTTA